AACTCCGTTCGCACTACGCACCAATTCCGTACTGTCGTATCCTTTCTCAAGTGCCGGGGCAGGGGAGAATACAGAGGTCTCTGGATGAGTCGCGTTCCTTCCCCGGTACGGTTCGTGTGATCAAATTATTGAGATTTACGAGGCGTCAAGATGCGTTCGAGGGCTCTCCACAAGATCGTTGTTCGCACTCTTGCCAGCCGCCTGGCTGCCATTCACGCACGAACCGACCATAGAGTGGCCTTTGTCAGTTCCTTCGTCACTCATCCATACATCGACGCACCTTCCTGAGCAGGTAGCCTCAGAAAACCCCACCCAACCGTCTCCACTCTTTATTCTGTTGCGTCGAGTGTGAAAGCCCCGAGCAATGAAGTGCTTCGTCGTCGGCAGTTCTCCCCGAGATAGCATCGTCATCTTCGTCAGTTTATTCCAGCGATGCTCGAGCTCCATCAGACTAACAAGGAGGAATAGCGTCGCTCAGTCGACGACCTCTTTGTCGTTCGAAGATTCCCCCCCTGGCTCGGCTCGTTCCTCCCCTTCCTCGACTCCGTCCTGGAGGGGTCGTCCTCACGCATCTCGGTGATAGTCCGCTCGGGTTACGCGATTTTACAACTTTCAAAGATCAGTGCGTCTCACGGGATCGTCGAAAGAAGTCTTCGTGAGTCCGTGATCCGTCGGAAATTGCTGATGCCTGAGTGAAACATCTCGATGCTCACAAATGCGGAGCGGCAATATCCGCAGCTAACGGATATCTCTTATCTACGAGACGGCGACCGTTAATCGCTCTGTGACGTCGGGTACAGGCAGTTGTAATATATGGAGCGGAGCCTAAGTTATAAATCATACAACATCAGACATTAATGCCAGTGAGCAGTGGCAATCTCCGTTATGGTCTTGAGGTGGCTCCCTCCCGGACAAGCGGGACGAATACCTCGGGGATGAGTGGAATCGGTGGGCGAAACACCATCTACACGGGATGAGAACGATGTCAGCGGTCGCAGGAAAAATCATCAAACAAAAAACAGGAGCGAAACCAAGAGAAACCCTCGTTTTCAACAGCGCGAAGCATCTCGGTGACAGGCAGAGCGACGCGGACGTTTTTCCGCGCTGTTTTTGTGCAGTATACGTACATACAGCTCCATTGATCGCTTATAATGCCAAGTCGGCACAAACACCGGCTCCCGGACTGCGTCCTAATAACGTTTTCAATTACGTTGGTTCGCGTCTACGGCTGAGTTGGGTTATTCCGTCCCCGGCAATCTACGATCACTTGCGCTGGACCGAAAGCCGGTGGAAGGACGAAGCGAATGAATTGATTATGAGAATGACGTCAGGACGGAGGTCTACGACACGAACCTGTAAGGCTGAGGAATATTCTTGCTTGATCTCTGGGGACTGTGACATATTATTTGGTAGGTCCCTTCGTCAGAAGACAACTCAGAAGTCGAATGTCGCGCGACACGATCGACGAGGATCGAATGGGAATCGTCATCGCCACGGAGAATAATTCAAACGGAAAACTCGAATTCGATGAGAGAAACATAGGAACCCCGAAATCATCATCTATATCACAAGCGGATGCTTCAAGATGAGTGCGAGCGGGCCCCTCGGGGGTACGAGGCGCTATCCGCATTCCCGTAGAAACCCGGACCAGGCTCCGAAGGGGACCTCAAGCTAATGCCTCGGAGTCCACTTTACGGAACAGTGTGGCGGAGACTGCCACAGAGTCTACGAGACAAAAGCCAAGACTGAGGCATCCGACGACCGATTGCTAAACCAGAGCATCAAACGGAGCTCGCCTGAGCAGGAATCGGTCAGATCAGGGACAACGAAAATTGATTCATCCGCGTAATCATCATTATTCGTTAAGTTTCCCCAACACGGGATTCCTTCGCAGACGGGGACGGCGCGGCGCTGAGCATGTCAACGAGAACGACGCCACAGGCTAAACAAACAGACATCAGACACAGCTTCGCCGACTACCGTCCATTCGCTGACCCTTCGGCGTTGCGGCTGATGATGATGAGGACGTCGATGAAGGCGGTAACGGCGACGATGACGAAGACGGCGCCCAGAATGATGATGATATATCCCAACTCGAAGAGTTTGAAACATGAGACAAAGAAGAGCTCGGACGTGCAGTGGTCCGGAAAGCGTGGCGTCGGTCGGTCCCGGGCAGAAAGAATCAGCAGAGATGGTCTGTCTCGGTCGGTCGCTTGTTCGGTTGGGCGCTCTGTCTCTTTGCCCGTCGGTCTGTCGCTTGCTCGATCGGTCCCTCTACCCGTCTCTCTGTCTCTCCGTCGGTCTCTCCGTCCGTCCGTCCGTCCGTCTGTCCATCCGTCTACGGCACGAAGGATGACGAAAATAAAACTTACCCCACCGTAGTCGGACAAGCGGGCGGCACACGCAAGCAAATACCCAGTGACCGTCGGACCGCGTGAGTGATTGAGTGACGGACGGAGTAAGAGCTACAGGGGGTACGAAGCTCGAGAAGCCGACGAAGGAATAAGCGGGGGTGTTGACCGAAGAACACCGGTGGTCGGAAGGGACAAGGGGAGAATGAAAAGAAAGAGGAATGAGCCCCAAAGCAGGGGTTGAGGCTGAGGGCTGAGATTCGGCTTATTCCTGGCGAATCCTCCAGGATCCGACTGAATAGCCGAATGTTCGAGCTTCCCCTGAACGTGCTCTCAAAATCCTGGTTTCACGCCTTCAAAGGAGAGCGTCGGAGGACGCCTCTGCACCAGGAAGACAATCCGAAATGATTCACTTCGGGACCGATCGCTGGGGATCCTACGAGTCCATTCAATGAGTCGGTCCTCTCTCTCGCCTCTCATATCGAGGAACTGTCCGAGTCGCCTATCGTTTACCAAACTCCCACTAACTTTTCGGCAGAAGTTCGAGTGCGGTATACTCTCGATACTCTCTTCCCGAAGCTAGAGAATAATTTCGTGAGGATGCCGAAACGTCCCCGGGTCGAAAAATTCGTCATTTCACACAGCAACTTCCGCCATGAGCCCATGTCAGCTATGTCGGCTATGGCTGTCGATAAGCGCAGCTGCGCATCGAAATTACAATATCGCCATGGCATCCCGGCAGACGATAAATGTTTTGTTAGGACAGGACCTTATCCTTGGCAGAATATTGATGAGGAGGACGCATCATGGAAGTGTGCTTTTGCAATTCCGTTGCAAGCTCGCCACATCTCTGCAATCACGAGGCTGCAACGATGTTCCAGGTCTGCTCCTGTGTGCGGTCCATAATTACAGGGGAACACGACGGACCGCTCGGAGGTCACTGGAGGTTTCCGGCATTCCGGGAGATGGTAGAGAATTCGAAAAGGCCCAAACGGCTGTTCAATGACAACGCAATGTCGTGGATGGAGTCGGTGAGGTAGAGCGGGACAGCGGGGATGATATATATTTTTCTTCCTCTGGATCCCGTGCCGTTTCCCCAGACGCAGGCGTTCTCGGCGGCTGAGTTCTCGGGGATAACCGAGCTAGCGGGAGAACTAAAGGACGACCGACGAGCGGACGTTCGGAGGAAAAACGGGAAGGATGCGCAGATGATGGCTTGCCACTGTGGCGGTGCAAGAATAAAAAGCCGATAGAATTGGCATTTGATTCGATCGGCGCTGTTGTTGAAAGAGAGATGCGAACGAGCTCGCCCGCCGGGCCGTCTCCTTTCTTCCTTCTTTTCCTTCCTGCGCTCCCGCAGGAACGTCCTGAAGAATCCAACCGCTCGTCCGCCTGTCTCGGAGATTCTGCCTGGCTGCTCGCCCGTTAGGCCGATCGCCTTCCTGCCCGCTTTAAATTCCTTCTTTTCTCTTGGATTCTTTTTCCGTCTCATATTTCTATTGCGGGATTGAGCTAACCAATCTTCAATCGAAGTGTTTGGTCGTTCCTCCGGATTGTTCGGACTCCTGTGAGACGATAGCCACCTACATTGAGGAAAGTTTCCATTTGCGCCGGTGTGGCCCAGAGAAATTACCAGCTGGGTGAGCGGCTGACTTTTTTCTCTTCTCTGTGGAAGCCGGCCGGAGCCTGCATCCCGAAGACCACACCGCAAGAGATTGGTAGAAATAATACAGAGGGACGCATTCCGAACATTTTGCCAAACACGGTTGAAATAATTTACAGAACTGTCGCACAATGTTCCCACGACAGATGCAAAAGCGAGAATAAAATGATACTCTAATAAAGTTCACCGAGGACCAATAGATCTTAGCGATTGGCAGGACGCAGAAAACGTTGCACCTACGTCATAGGGGAGGCGCCATTCGTAGAAGAGACGAGCGAATGACCGCTTGCCAACATTGTTGAGAATTATTTCTCCCCAGAAAAAATTGTGCGCGCTGCCTCAGAAATTACTAAACGCTCTTAGGGCATGGATGCACAGCGTACGGCGCGTCAGCAACGGACACTCACGCCCATTTTACTTTCGATGGGCCATACCCGGGAATACCCAGACGACCAGAGCCAAATTAGAGAGTTCTAGACCGAAGAAAGCGAATGGCTCAGGAATGTGTTCTTGAGTGACGTCGTTTGGCGAACACTCCGGTAAATTTCGATTGGAGCGGCTCCCACGTGTCGCGATCAGTTTTTCATTGTCGAATCCGATGATACCCTGTGTTAGAACGACTTCCGTCGAATAGAAAATATTCATGGGGTTGTTTCCGAGTCTAGACTCCCCTTGAATTCTCCTCGACTCTATAGGCTGTGGAATTCTCTTCCACCTTTCCCGCGCCGACCCCCGAATCTGGTACTGTATTTTGCTGTCAGTCTGGATGAAATCCTCCTCCCCATGGCCATCGAGGCTACGGACGACCGAAATCAAGCGTCCAGGAGCAGCGTGTCAGGTCCTTATAGGATACCTGCGAGCGGCCGCGGAAAGGAAAAAAATCCGAGCGAGAAACTTGCCGACATCGTTCATAAGAATCGTAGGAGATTCTCGTTTCGGGGGGATGCGAACAGTCGACGGGACCCACGAAAAAAAATTCTTCATCCTTTTGTTCACAACATTTATTGGAGACTTTCCGACTCTCATCTCGGCAATGTTCAGCGGTAGAGTCCTCCGTAGACATACGGGCTCGCGAGGGCATAGGGAGCTGCGTACCCGTAGGCTGGAACGTAGGGGGATGCGTATCCGTACGGAGCAGTATTGTAGACGCGGCCGGTAATGGCTGACGAATACTGTCCAGTGGTCAAATCGTACGTGCCACCGGTGAAATCCTTCAACACCCCACCGAGGGCCGCACTCACGACGGCCAACAGAACAATGGACTGAAACGAGGAAAAGAGAGAGATCAATCTTCTTCCAAAGATCGTCCGCACTTCCGCTTGTAGCACTCAAATCCGAGTTTGAAGTTTGAACCGGCCGAGAAATAGCTTTCCAACGCGTAAACACGCTCGATGGCACCGGAACAAGGTAGTTGGGACCGGCTCGCCGTCCTAATTAGCGGAATCACATCGATCAGGTACAGGCTTCCCGGCCAAGATACCGAAGAGCACAATTATTAACCAGCGAGTCCGACGATTCCGATTCGTCTTTTGTCCACTCACCAGTTTGGCGAACATGGTCTAACGTAACAGAAGGAAATTCTTCGACTCCTTCCTACGACATTGCAGCGACGTATTTATAGCCAAAGTCACCTCACGCCTCACTTTCTTTCCCCTTCAAGGTCGACCTCAGTCGTTTCAGACCACGCTTTGCTGACTACTCAGCATTTGTATCGCCTCCCTTTTTCTTCGGCTTCTTTTTCTTTCCGGTTTCGTCTCTTGTCTTCTTGTGCTGAATCCACTTAGCAACCATTCAACGACCAAATTATAAGCAGGAGAAGGACGGCTGAATCATCGAAGCGAGTCACCAACTCTTCATCCTGCTCTTGTCTCTCACTTTTTATGGAGTTTCCTTTCTTTCCTTAATTGATCTCCTAGTTACGAATTCGGGCCACTGTGGGGAGGGGGGGAGAGGTTTGCGGAGAGATTTCCCCCTTCGTGCAAGGTTCCCGTGCCCAGAAGGCTCTGGGGTAGCCAACCAGATTGGGAGGAGCCGCATCGATGCATCTCGCGTAGTCCCTCAGAAGTTTTCGATTTTCTCCCTACCCGGTGTATGCGTTACACGTTCGCCTCGACAGTGAAGCTCGAGCTTGACAGAACGATTAGGAAGTGACGAGATTAGCGCACAGCGAGAAAACCAGACATCCGGGCGAATGACCTTACAAGGTCTCGCGAACCTTTGACGTCACAATTAGCGAGCCAGAATTTTGGCAGCGGCTTGGCACCCAATGCGACGCGGCCCCAGCGCCGCCCCAGAAAAATGAGTCACGATGAAAGCTCACTTTAGTACTTCTACTCGTTCGAGGACATTCGAGCCGACTCGGGTCGATGATAATAAGTATTCCACTCCTCCAATAAGTCAGTCGTCTGTCATCGATGACACAGCGGCTAATCCGTGATTCGAATCTGAGTGAGGTTTCTACGAGATTCAGCGTACTTTTCTTTCTGTTTCGTCGGGTCGTTCCAAAGGCAGCAGCGTTTGGGTGGAGCAAGCAGTCCGTCATGTCCACCGTTCATTCTCCCGTTTTTTCGGCCAAAAGATCGACAGATCTTCAAGTGGAATACTTCGCTGGAGCGGTGATCGATCGGTGAACTTGGGCCGGGGGCCGGTCAGTTTTAAGAATCTAGAGCGAACTAATGGGCTCGAGTTGATTCAAGTTTGATGATTCGCCCCGGGCTCCCTCTCCATCGAACGTGAGAATGTTCCGCTGTGAATTCGATAAGACCGTGTCGGTACCAAAGCCTGCGGGGGAGGGGGGCCTCAGGAAGGCCGAGTATGGTGAAAGGTCGAGAATGAGTATCGGCGATAACTTCGATAAAAAAAGAGAGGTAGAAGATGATGGAGATCGGGGAGCCAACATATCGTGGATTGGATGCGCATTCGATCGACGCTTGTGACGCTGAGCCATACTGGACAACGGCACAGAAATAATCAAATGTGCCTCCGGATCGTTCTCATCACAATGGCAGAAGCCCACGTAGAGGTCGATCGAAGTAGCAATCGTACCCGCCGCTTTGGACTGCAGATACCCACTCTTGAAGTGCTGAGAAAATTACTGCGGAAATTCTGAGCTTCCCAAAAAAAGTAACGCAGACGGAAGGAAAAACTGAAGTACGCGCCGCGGCACACCACTCACCGCGTGAAGGCTGATATTCGATTGCTTGGTTTCCGCGAAGCCACCGCGGAACGAGGAGTTTCGGGGGTACTTGTCTAGGCGTTGTATTTCGAATGGACCCGGACTAAATCCGTTCCTCGGGAGGAGGATCAATGTGGATGAAAGTCCTTGTCCTTTATAGCTACTGACGCTCACCTAAGCGATCTGATCTGACCAGCTATTTAGATCTTTCCAAGTATTCCCTCCAGTCTCGAGCGATTCATCGGCCGGCGAAACAAACCCAGTCAATATTAGGTCAATAATTGGGTGCGATCATCGATTTCGACGTTATGATAATAAAAGTCGTCCAAGCGCTGAGCCGCCAACTCATGAGACGGTACCCAAATGAATGTCCATCTGAGAACCTCCTCTGCATGCACACTCAGCACAATGTGATTCCGGTCGGGGAAATTCCAGAGGATCCCATTTCCGTCCTATGTTCTCGATGCTCGGTCTCCCAGCGAGGGAATGGGTCTGGGCATAGAATTGGTAATCCCTCCCCGTGGTCGGCCGAGATCAACTCGGGACGCCGAGAAAACCCGGAGAGCATTCGAGACCACCTCGCTCGGCTCAATCGATGATGCAGGAGTTCGTCTCTTCACCTGCTGGCATCGCCAATGAGATCGTTAGCATGAGAGATGTTCTTCATTGTAATACGATGAGACGATTCGAATGTTGTACCAAAAGATTCTTGACCGCTCTCTGAGATCTAGCTTGAGGGAGTCCGCGCGAACTTCCTCAGCGGAGCCCATCGTCGAGGTACAGGCGTTTCTCGGTGTGAGTGAAATAATAACATACGAGTGAGGGATTACAGTATAGAAAAATGGAACGGAAATGGCGATTCGATTACGGAGAAATAGAGCGCCACGTCTAAGACCGTCACGCAGAAGTTCTCGTTGGCAGAAAATACCGCAATACGGACAGGATAGCATCAGCCATCCGTCGGATCGCATGGACGTAATGATAATAAGAATAATGGAAGAAGTATATACCCATATGTATGCGGATCGAAAAGCGGGCGACTCTTCGGGACGGTAGACCGCCACGCCTCCTCAAGACTACTTACTTAAATAGATCGACTCGTTGCAAAATCTGCAGTCAGGATTCGGGCAACAGAATCAAATGGCATTGAATTTTCTTGAGAATTATTCGCTCACTTTCGGATCTTTTGAATGTTTCTCTCCTCGTTCGGAAGAAGAGGAGGGACGGAACTGATTCAAGAAAAACGCTGACGCTGTTCGGGAGAATCTGGGGGCAGAGAATGAGAAAAAAACTGAAGCCTTGTACCGACTGCGGTCTGATCTGCATCAGCAGCACAGGCAATTCTCGAGAAGAGATACCCGATCTACTGCTGGGCCGTCGACGACTGCGAGTATTTAAATTCAGATGCCGCCGCGGAAGTCGCAAGATTGGGGAGATGCGGCTGAGATGCTCACCTCCCGATGATCCTCACTTCCCGTATTGCATCCCGAGCGCCATGCTGTTGATGCACCGGGGTTCCAGAGGGGAAAAATGTAGGAGAAACTTTTCGTTCAGCCGACTTCTTGTCTCTCGAGGCTCGACTGGCCGCTTGCCTCGTGTGTGGGTGATGATGTCTCGAGCGTGATGGAGGGCTCAGTCGATAACTTCATTGCAGTCAATGGATTTCCTCTTCGGAGGCTCCTCTTTTGGGGAAAAACGAAGCGGCGGCGGTAGCAGCAGCCGGATCTAGACCCTCTTGTCGGTCCTTGTTCATCTATTTTAACAGATGATTTCATTGAGATTATTACGACTTTGGTCGTCGGCCAAACGGGATGCGAACATTCATTTTTATCCCGGGGACCGGAATCAAGTGTCAGCGGGAATCGGGGAGTCGAGAATCGCTCTTCCTGAAGATTTGAGAAACTTGGGTTTGAATACAGAACTCGAACGGAGTGAGGGACCGGAATAAAATCGTGCTGTCCATCGAGGTCGTCGACGGCGAATGTGAGAATGCGTGATTGACGGAATATCCTCATCGCTCTGTTGCGGACTCTCGAAAATTGCTTAGTTTCAAATAATCTTCCCACTCGGGTTGGACGTATTCCTGACTAGAAGTTTCAGAGTCCGCATCCTGTCCCAGAAACATGGATAGATTCTTCAGTGCAATTGCCGTCGGAAAACTCGCCAATGATATGTTGTGCGTAGTTGGAGATTGGGGAAGAAATAAGAACCGTGGTCATCGCCATGGAGCCAATCGTCACACTCCGGGATCGTCTTGGGATCAACGATTACCCTGCTGATCGCTGTGATTTTCTGCAGGGTCGCGCAGGGAGGTCTCGAGTCCTGTGAGGTCCAGAAAACTCAAAGGGAAGTCCACGGGAGCGAGCTCCGCCTGCGGAACCCGATCGAGGGCTTCTCCCAAGTATTGTGCGATGATTCTCGCTCTCAGCGAATCCTGTTGAGATGAGAAGAGTTTGAACAGCAGGAAATTAAAGGAGAAGGACTCTGGGCGCGAACGAGGCATCGCGGTCGTCTCAGCGTCGCGTCGGCTGCACTACAAAAAGAAGACGCAGCGGCTGTGAGTATCGGAAAATGCGCGAAGGAAGCTGCTTGAGACTTTAATGGATTGCGCCTATGGAGGATAGTAGTCAACGGGAGCGCAAGCGAAAATTGGCAAAGTTTCCTAGAGGACGACGACAACGCAGGGAAAGAGGTCACAGCTCCGGGCCGGGTGATGAAGCCTTAAAAAAGAAGAAAATGAGGAGTTGGAACCCACGGCTGCCGCAGAGTAAAGCTCTCCCATTCGAGCCGCTCTCCGTGGAGAGTTCAGGCAGAGCAACTTGGCAAATCGACTTGTTGCTCGGCTCACTCCGACCGACCAGGGCTGAGGAAGAGAGCAGAACGATTCGGTAGACAAGGGGATGGGGCCGGGGTGAGCGATCTCCTCAAAGGCGTCCGAAACTTGCTTGGACCAGAGGTCGCTCCCTCGCTGTCGTCCCGTTCCCCCCACCGAGCGAAGTTCATATATCACCCACCTCTACCGATGTCGGTCAGTGGGGGCCCTGGTAGCCTATCGCCATCCGGGTGTCCCGAAGGCCGAGCCGGTCGGATGGCGGGGGAACCAGGTCGCTTGCCGTGCACTGGCAGGCAGGATTAATAAAACATCCTTGTGCCGTCCTACAGGACGACCCCTCCGAAGAGTTCCGAGGCGTCCCTGTTCTCGGCTCTAAACCGTACTGTGAAAAACATTCTCAGCACGTAAACTGTGCAAGACGTGAAAGGCTCCAATCACAGACATAGAGAGAGCAGACACGGGAAGAATGGGGAAACCTGGGTTCCGGCTGAAACCATTCGGATTCCTTCCATCCCCTCCTCTTCCCGTCTTCAATGTATGTCGATCAGTCGATGGCGGACCTTTCCAAATTTCAGTCGAGGAGTCACAAGCCCCTGGGGCAGGGTGGGAAGCTACACGAAGCTACGAAGCGAGCAGAATGTACACTTGAACGGAATATCCGCGGAATAATCGATATAACATCTGAACGGGCGTCCGCTGCCGCTCGAGATTTCGCTTCCGGTCCCCCGGATATGCGCAAACAGAGCTGCTCGTCCAAAATCCTCCTCTGTGAAATCTGACTTTGGACTCCTCACTCACATCGCTTCCAAGCCGGTCTTGACCCCCGGACTGCGAATGTTTCCCCTGGGTTCTTCATCCCCTGGAGATTGGGTGAGCTCGAACTCGATTTAGGGATCGCGCGCAAAATACTGCATGAGTATTGAATTTCTCGTCGATCCCTGCGAGGCGAAATGTGGGCAATATCCCGCATCCTTTCCCGTTTCACAAATATTCAGGGGTTCGTTCGAGGGAATTTCCTCAGGAATGACGGCCCTTCATGCGTGAAAAGTGGCTGTGGCTCTTCGTCCTTTCGTTTTCTGTGACTTCTATCGAGCAAGTTGACAAGCTTCCCTCATGACTGATGAGTGACGAGTAACCACCCGTCAGCATAATAATTGAACACAAAAAATATGATTTACCGCGAGCGAGCGAACGGTATTGTCAGAGTTTCGGGTAATTTCTGGCGAGAGCACGACGCACCTCTTCGGGAAAAGCGTCAGCGAGAAGCTTCGTCTGGAATAATGAACGACTCATCCGAGAAGCCAAAAATCTTGGCAACGGTTCTGGGTGGAGCCCCAAACAGCCCTTGCTCGATTCTGGACGGTCGGTCGGTAGATCCATTCATCCATCCGTTTGTTCATTCGTCCGAAAGGCGGTGATCTGAGATTCGACAGAGGACCATCAAGGTCGGTTGGCTCCGGCGTCTGAACTTGGCCATCGGCCCTCTCCCGGCGAGAATACGCGAAGGTATTTAAACGGCTGAGCTAGCTACCGAAATCAAGTTCACTGCAGTTTGAACCGATCCAACATGAAAACCGTGAGTACACGTCCTCTAGGTCTCCTCGAAAAATTCATTCCGATCGGTTGCGTCTCCGAGTTCGCGACTCAAACCCGATCTAATCCAATGACGTCAACAGATCGCCGTTCTCGCTTTCTTCGCCATTGTGGCCATGTCCTACGCCGGTGTCCTCAAGGACGTCACCGGAGGAACCTACGACCTCCACACCGGGCAGTACTCCTCCGCTCTCACCGGACACGTCTACAACACTGCTCCCGTACTCGCTGCCGCTCCCGTTCTCGCCGCCCCCGCTTACGGATACGCTCATGGATACGCTCACGGACTCTACGGAGGACTCTACCTTTAGAGTGATGTGAGATCAGTGCGCGAATAAATTGAAAAAAAGGCGATCAGAGTTCTATTCATTCGACGAGAGGTGTCCCTTCCCGCAAACCGGGTCAGAGATCCAAGACACATTTTTCATCGAGCGGGAGATCAAGGTGGCATCGGTCGCAAGAGTCTATCGTCGCCGATCTCCGGATAAATCGCATTCTTTGACGGAGCGGGTTACCTTACGGCATCGAACTATGGAAATAACGAGCGCACACCACCAAGCTCAGCGAGGCTCGAAGCCTATGAGCTAACTATGTCAACGACGTTAGACTAACTATGTCTTGCGAAGGTGGGCGCCGTCCTACCTGAAGAATCGGGAGAGTATGCTCTCGATCCATTCATGGTCTGAGAACGCTATCAGGCCCGACCGTGTAGACCGGATTCTCGAGGAGCTCTGAATGCCATGCGAAAACGTCTTTGGTGTAGTTGCACAGTCTTAAATTGACCGCCACATCGCTTCGGAGGGAATTGAAGATCGATTTGCACAATCAGATATTCTGCTCCTGTCTTCTTCCACGTTTCATGTGGCAAGGAACCCTCGAGGCTGGATGGTGTTCTCGGTCGAGCGCAAGGTACTTCTCCGGACCTTTGCAATCTGGTATCTTGAGTCGATCCTGCAAACTAGAGGTGCGAAATTCCGACCGACGGGCAGAAGTGAAGGTGAAGCTGGTGAGCTCGACTTGCGGTTGGACTTGGAATATATGCTTGATACCTTGGAAGGAGCGCTCCAAACAGAAGCGCATGCGGCAGGCGCGGGGAAAGAGGTTCGAATTCCAATAGATGGAGGGAATTCACAATGCAGAGTCATTCTTGTCAATTTGCTTTGAAACTCTGTTGAATTTAAATGTTTAAATCATAAACAGCCTGCACGGTCGTGTCTCGGAAAGCTCAGGGTGCGAGGTTCTGGCCGGGTCGCTCGGGATCTGAATCCATGAAGAGTGGTACGAGGAAAGAGGCGGTTCGGACCGCGGGTCGTATACCCTTCATAGAAATACTGCGATGGCGCTGGCTGAATATCTAGGGGAAGATCACAATACCCATCTCATTCTCCAATTATTATATCCAACGAAGCTGAGTGATGAACGGACTTCATTGTTCGGCCTGGAACTTGGATCTGCTGACAGATGGAGTCAGACTTGTCTTTCAACCATGACGTATTTGACCGTTGAGGAAATCGGGGGTACCTCCGATGATATCCCCCCAACGACGGGGCAAGCCTCGATGGCGGGGCGAGCGAGGATAGCTACCTGGTGATAGCTCAAACCAGGGTGAATCCCGTCGTCCAAGCTCCTCTTCGAGTTCCGTCTCAGGCACTCACAAGCTTAGGGAGAGCGGCCACGTTGTATTGATTTACACGGAGTCCTTCAGACCACATCGTGGGATTTCGGACACAGGGGAGCGTTGCCAATTTCTGGCGGTCATCGAGCGGTCATTGCGTCTGTGGATTTTGGCGAAAGCGAAATGGGAAGACGAGTGATTCCGCATCAAGCTCACCAGTTCGAAAAAGTATGAGTTCCAAGCTCCACAGACCTTCCGGAATGACGGGATGTGAACGTTTAAAGATTCGTACATGGATCATTGATTTCCTTATCACCTTCGATCGAAGGATCGAATTTCCAACTTCGGGGAGCTGTTGAATCAGGGGCCGTCCCAGGCTCCACACTGTGCTTTGTACCCCGAGATCTCTTGTCCCTCCAATAGGAGCTCTTCGTAACATATTTCCTGCTCATGGATGTCGACAGCTACGTAGCCCAATATATTATTACAGATTTATAGATTCTCGATCATCGATGGAATTCCTAGTAAGTTCCTAACTTCGTCAAGGGCCCCGTCGAGCTTCACAGGAAAGCTCAGCTGCCTGAGAGAGAGTACAGCCGTTAGGATCAACGAAGCGTTGCGGAAATCGGTTGTAAAGGGAGGCTCGGAGAATCACCCTTGCAGACGTGTAGAGCTCCCACGGGTCCTTCCCGCAGCGGTCAGAGGGATTGCTCTCCTCTTGCAGAGTCTAGAGTTCTTGCAAAGATCCGGGATCGGATAGTCTTGGAAACTTCAGCATACTCAACCGATACGATTGTAGTGGATTCGACCAGGGAGTCAACAGGCGGCTCGCGTCCATAACCGGCACCGAAAGAGGGAGTGGTCACGGAATTGAATCACAGCTCCAATAATTTATTTTCAGTCCCGCAATCGTTCAACTAGGTGCTCGAATTCACTGCAGCTTCCCTCCACGGATCTCTCCCCGATTGCACGATTCGCTCGATCAGACGGAGACGTCAAAGGTTAGTCATGTTCTATCGACCGCGTATCAATCTTCCGATTTAAGAACAGTTCCCTCTCGGGATTTGGGACTAATTTTCCCCCTACTGGAGTTTTGACAAACACCACGGATAAGCGGAACTTGTAAAATGCAAGAAAATAAACTCTCTGGTATCACATCGTAACATTGCAGATCTCGAGTGCTTCGTCAGATCTAGAAGTTCCGGTTCGAGGTTGTACCCGTCTCCGGACCAGGTCCATTCTTGCGTCGCTTGCGGACGTGCGATTCGCCAGAAAGCGCTCAAACGCCCCCGGAATACATAGTACTTAGTTTTCTAGAGATGATGTATCTTAGAGATTTCGGATTTTCCCATCGCTGAAGATGAGACCCCTCGTGGGGAGAGGGACCAGTTCACTGAGCTCCGAAGATCCGTCACCCTATAATAGTTCATAGTTAGGATTTCTCAATGATCACGGTTTCTCGAGAATGCGAAAGCGTCAGATGCGTATCTTTTCCTGGAGGAGACACAATTTATCGGACTCGCAATATCTCAACGCACGTGATTACTGTCGATGAAATCCAGGAGCTTGAGTGCAAGTTTTCGAGAGCTCTGTGTTAGCCTGCGCAGCGCGGATTCCTCGCAAAGACCGAATTGGACGATCCTCTCGCAAATCTTCTCGTTCAGCTCTGCGTCGAACAGAGGCAGACCGAAAGTGCAATCTAGCAGAGTATAAGTGCTGCACTGCGGCGTCGGACACAAGAGGGTGATGTAACCGCATTGGTGAGATAAATCCAACTCCTTGTAGAGAATCTCAACGCACTCCAGAGCGTACAGACTGTCCGCTGCGCATTCGAAGCAAGAGTGAGTTCATAGTCGAGGAAGAAGGTTATTTACATCGCCATACGAGTGTTCAGCTCTTTCCCGGTCTCACCTCTGTCGCTTTCTTTCAGCAGATCGAAGGGAAACGGTAGAAAAACTTTCTCTTGCTCGAGATCGTACGCTTGAACCATCGAGGCGGAGTAGGTGAGGAATTCGTTGACAGTTGGCAAGCTGGACGCCGAGAGGATCGTGGATGGATCATGTCCCCAATTCGTCAGAGTGAGCTTCTCGTAGATCTGAGGATTCACACAACGCGAGTCGTGAATCTACGGCCAGGAATTTCAGAAAGAGAGTGAGGAACATAGAATACCATGCGGCTTACCTCCAGCTTTTGCTACACAAGAACACAACAAAAATTTTAGACAACACATCCAACGAAAACGAGTTGTACTTTACTAATGTTTTCATGCACTTTGAACCTCCCGCTGGCGAGAGCCGGACACTCACAAGTAATTCTTTGGGCAATTTCTTCAGACGGCTCCCACGCGTCAGCAATACCGAAGTGGGACCCTGTCGGGTTAAATTGTAGAGGAACAACTTAAACCACAGGGAGTTGACCTCAGGAATCGGCGGGCCTAGATGACACGGCGAGCAACCGGTGACCGGACGGACTTCTTTGCTCAGCGGAGCCATCGAGATCAGAAGACTTCATGGAAACGTAAGAAATTTGAGATCTCGATCCCACATTGAGAGAATACCCATCGAATAAGCATGAATACGTATAATGAGGAACTTTCCCGCAATTTCCACTCTAGCCCTCCCTCACTCGTAGTTCTTGTTGAGCAACCGTCGACAAGTGTCAGCGTCAAGGTTCTGGAGAGCTTCGCAACGCACGAGATCCAACGGCAGGGCCGGATTGAAGAGTTCCAGATTGTTCCGGAGGAATTTGATTGTTTTCGAGAGAGCCACAGTGTGCTCGTAGTAGCGCACAGCATCACCCTCTCCCGTTTGTTCCTCCACCTTCGGAACAGACCATGAAATTCATGAGCTATACTGCGTCTTCGCGCACATGATTGCATCGGAGTATCGGTCGGTACCCCAATTACTTTCGATGTGCTATCCCCAACTCAATCCAACAGACCTTATCCAATTCAAAGAGGAACGAGTCGAGGATCTCGTCGGAGATCTTCCCGACTTCGAACATGGTGACAGCGTGCGACTTCAGTGATGCGGAGAGATTGCCCATCATGAGGAATGCCGTCAGTGTAGAATCGAAAAGGAAACCGATCCGCTTGCCTAAAATGAAACTCTATCCTCAACCCGATTCCTCGTCAATGGGTACGTATGGGGCGGGACTTCTCGGAAGTTTCCTCTGTCCCTCATGCGTCCATTTCTGGGCATATACGTACATATTTATACATATGTATGTATTTAATCATATATTCGACCGGAGATTCCCGATTGAACGAAAAATCCGGGACCTTTTGACGGATCGCTGGTTTGATGGAGCGCTCCTTGGGGACTGCTCTCGGGGGAATGCTCTTTTTGCGTTGACGCTCCGGCTTGCTTGTCTGCTGAGATGTCTATGACAGTGTCCGACTGCTCGAGCTCATCGTGAAGAACGCAAATGAAACCGTCGACGTCGTCGGAAGAGCTGCGTGGATCGGAAAAGATCTTCTTGCTAATCTCGATCGGGTCCTCCAGTGCTAATTCGATCACACTCTTCAAGTTTTCATAATCCCAATTCAGGGGGAATTTGGACGAAAGAGAGGAATGAGCTCACTCTTTGGGGACGGCTCCGGAGTTAGCAAGCGGGTTGTCTGTTTTCCAAGACGGGTGGAGATCCATCCTGTCGAGGTTCTTCTTGTGCGCGAAACCCAGACGACAGTATATCGAAACGGCGTTCTTTATCAATTGAGGCTCCACCTTTAAAGGAAGTTTCCTCGAGGAGTTAGCTGCGGAGCTGAACACACCTGAACGCATTGAGCTCCGCAGACCTTCCCGAACTCACCTGCAACACCGTGCTGAGCTCATTGACGGGAGTTCGTTCATCCAGAGACACGAATATTTGGTATAGAAGTGACTCCAGAGGATCGCCCGAAACGCAGTTCATCACGAATCCTTCGAGTGGTGGCACTGTTATGAAGAAAATCGTTTCCTTCACTATCGTCTGCTGTCTCTCTTCCGAACAACTGCGACCGAGAGGAAGCCGTGAATAGAGAAAACCTCCTTTCCGCGTCACGTCGGAGGACGAGAAATGCGATTTTCCGTTCAAGAGCAGGGAAACTCACCAGCAATGTGATCGTTGTCTTCAATGGGGACGTCCAAGTAGACCAGGCCCCGGACGTAAAGAGCTTTGATGACGTCCACGTCATGTTCTCCACATTTCTGGGGGCCTTCGTCTATCAAGAGGTCCACCATGCACTTCTCCGCTGGAGAGATTTGCTGGTGGGAGAAGACCGGATATCAGAACGATTCCGAGTCAAGAAATGGTCGGTGGATCAATTTCGGATTTGAGGCAACTATGTCCTGAGAAATCGAACGATTCGAATGGCTGACCTTCACATCAGTCTCTGTGATGTATCCTACGTGAACGATCCACCACGACTCGACGGCGATCGTCACGGGTTTCGGCGGCAAGACGCTACGGAGATTTTTCTTGCGCAAAGAGAATATACTCTTGGTGGACTTGCACATGTTCACAAGTTCGATGTACTGGTTTCGTCCGATGCCGAGCAATCGCAGGACGTCGGCGGCAGTGAAATTCGGCAAACAATCGTAACTCTTCTCCTGGCTCATAATATCCTGTCGAGGATGACGCACAAACTCGTATTTCAATCAGGCAGGTGTCAAGTCTAACCCAATGAGGTTCCATTCATCTGATGACTCCAACATGCCTGCATCATTGATATGTAGTATTGGAAGGGCGTAACGCGCATTTGCGTCACGATGAAGTCGCTCAGGTGATAGGGGTACAGCATCAGATGCTTCCGCGAATACTCGAGCAGAGATTCGTAATACGATTTTTCGTCCCGATGAACCCGTCTCACTAGAATGAGTCGTCGATTAGCTAGAAGGCATACGAAGGCATACGAAGCCCTCCACGAGCAACGAAAAATATACTTGCCCAGATTCCCTCGATGCTTAAGTTGGTTCCTTATAGAATATTGCATCACATGTTTGTCGTAGTCTTGCTCTGAATTTCCCAGAGCCTGTCGTACCGCGGGAGACACTCTCGACCAAGGAGTGTTTTTGGCGATCGCGTTCTCGACTTCGACGTTCATGGTCTGTAGGAATTATCCGATCCACGTCAATACGGGGGAGAGGAATGTTAGGGACAAATCAATGATCTAGGAAATCGGCAGGACCGAACTCGAAGTCTGGCATGTCAAACCGCTAGGGAAAACGCCAGTCCTGGAGAGACACCAGAGATTCTTGGCTTATGAAGTGCCATCAATTCGAGAGTCGATCAGACCGCATTGTAATAATAATGAAGAATCTGTTGGAGACCCTGAGTTTTGCAAAGGAAGGGGTCGTTCGGCGACGAGCGAATTCACCGCCCGCATGCTTGGTGGTCCGAGTCGAGTTTTCCTTCGAGGACTTCAACCGGATCGGACTCGGTCGAGGCATCCAAGGTTTCTCAGGGTACTCAGAGTTCCGTAACTGGCACCTGATGCGAGTCTTAGTGGAGATATCACACAGTGCCCATGTGACTGACTCACTTTCGCTTCGAGCCGAAATCAATTTCTCCTGTCTCACGGCACCTGGACGCGGACCGCAAGCCACACTATTCGGAATCGGGAGGCTACATGATTATCCAGAGCACACGTCGCGAACGCACCTCTGGTCCCTGTCAGAGCATGATCTGAATACAAATGGCAGTGCCTCAGGATCGGATTGACATGTTTACGGAGAGATCTTAAAACTCGGAAGGTATTCGACGGAACGATGACATTCGAGGCGGCGCGCGATTCCCTCAAGACTCAAGATGCCTGCTAGAATGCGGTAAGCGGAATAAACTTCATGGTGCAAGTGGGTAAGTGGAGCTGATAAGCGATTCACAGATTCCACCAATTTGATTCCCCCCTCTCTCTCGGATATCAACAAGACTGGTCTCCGATAAATCGTAGGCTTTCATGGTTCTAGAGGATCGAATAGGGGAGAGAAACCGCAACATCCGATGGGAATTCGCCCATAGCCCCGGCATCGATGGGATTCCAATATCTTCGGGAGAGTTTTGCTCCCTGAATAATTCTCGGCGTGTCATCCGCGATGAGACCCCGAGTGAAAAATACGTAACGGGTGCCGGGACGCTCCTTACGGCGATCCTTGATTTCACGATCCGGGGCAAATGTTTCGAAACAAGGCTCTCATACTCATTCTGGAATCACTCATGGCGATCCTAGAGGACTTGCGGCCCTTAAAAGTGACCGATCTGTCTGGTAGTCCGTCAGTGTATCCGGCGCCTCTTTCTTCTAGCTTCCCTTTCACCGGGAGAGAATGCCTCCGCTCGGGAGAGCTGTAGCTAGTTCGCTCGGCCGGGGATGACAACCGGTGGCGCGAATCCCGTCCACAAGCAGTGCTCTGAGCGAATGTAATCTGTGAACTGGGTTTAAGCTGGCGTTTTCCGGTCGAGACCATACTTTGGTTCAAGCAGTGTTGGAAGTTCGGAGACTGAGTGGTTGTCCGACGTGAGGAGATTGCGAGCAGTGTACGTTCGTTTCTTTCCATTTCATGAACTTTCTAGTACCGAGCAGAACGAGCATTCAGTCTCTTCTGGGGTTTGGGAAATCACGTGCAGTGCCTCGGATTTTTCGCCGATGCTTCTCTCTGACCCACAAAAGCACGAAACAGCTTATGAGTACCGTTATGTAATGACTACCGCCCTCCGTCTTGGTGGAGGACCGCTCCGGTGAAGACCACAGCTGAATGTTCACGGCATGGATCTCACCAGATTTATGCCGAATATTCGGGAGCAGATCAACGCGGTGGTCTTCGAATCCACGGAGTTCGGTCGCGCGGAGTACCGTTATTGAAACACGACCGCCCGAATATGGTCATGGAACAGATAATGTCGTCGAAAGCGGCGGCTGAACTTTTGAAGTTTCATCTATCGATATTCGCTGATAAGTTTCATGTTACTTCATCTCTAAATCAGTCGCGGAAAGACCCGCACAAATGCAACACCCGAACAAGCGTTAGCTCATCATTGATTGCTCGCTCGCTCGCTTGCTGGGTGTCCTTGTCTCTTACCGTTGGATTAACGGTCGGACTTTCCAGCGGTTCCGACTGGTCCGGCCGTTTCTCGGCTGTGGAGCGGTGACTGGCGGCGTAGCTGCTGCTGTCGAAACATTGAAGTCGCTCTGCGCCGTCGTGATAAGGCTCAAATGGGATAGTCTGAAAGACAATTCCTCGCAAAAATTCTAGTCGATCACACTAAGCAAACGATCGGACCCCCGAATCTGATTCGGTATCTATTGTACGAGCCTCGCTTTCACGACTCGTTCGAGTCATTGACGCTCAAGGCTCCGTGGGGTATCGATGGCCTTTTCTGACTTTTCCATAGGTCTCATGTTGAAATCAGCTCATTTCATTCCTCTCGAGATCACCCCAGGCAGTGTGAGACCGTTTTCGGGTCGACGAAGTTTTCCGATGAAGAACGATGAGAGCGGGTATCTCTATGGGGCGCCATGCTCTTCCGGAGAGATAAGTCTCAGCACGACGGAGAAAAACCCAGAATAATTTGGGATAAGATCTGACCGGACAGATTCTCATGCCCTAATTCCGTTCAAAGTTCTTGAGGATCGGAACTCATCCGTTCGAAGGGGGTGCGAAGGCTGCGGTAGTCGTTCTGGAGGTCTCCCGCGAGCTTTCCGTCGGACGGATACCCGCAAGCCCGAACCGCGACGTCGGGATGCATCCCGACGAGCTGCGGGTGAAAACCAGGAAAGCCACTTCGACGGCGGCGGTCGCTGCGACGTCGGACCCACGAAACAATGGAAGTTTGTGATGCGAGTTTCGGTCGGCTCGAGAGAATACATTGAACTTCTGCGGATGAGCAAATTCGATGGCTGGGCAGCATTTCAGCTTCTGCACGCGACTATCCGCCGAGGCTATTGACTCCCATGTAGCTGTAACTGTCATCGTTTATGTCGCAGGCGTCGTTGCCGCAGCTCGTGTTGCTGTTTGTGATGTTAAAGCACCTGTCGCTCGCTTTCAGATTTATGAAAAACCCCGAGAGCTCACTATGATCACCTGAGTGAGCAGTTGCTCCCCAGACGAAGGATAAGGCTTCACAGGAATCTCGAGTATCCGAGAGAAACTCCGGCGACATAACCCCGGCAAGAATGAGCCATCAGGATAACATTCTAGAAACTAAACTGGTGAGTTCGATGCTCGAGACTCGGATTGAGTAGAGTTCGGGGGAGGAATATCTCGAGATTTTGCGGAATGAGCGACTCGCTGCTCTCGATTCATAGAAGCTCGAGTTGGGACTGAGAATTTCCATCCGGAATCCTTTGATTCCGTCTGCGGTCTACTTCCAACAAAAGTGGTCCCGATGGATTCTCAAGAATATGCGATGATGCGATTAGCAGGGATAATTCGTCCGGAACAGCTCCGGTCCTATGCAAATCGTAATGTGCCCCTCAAGAATTCGATTGCTTCATTCAGACAATCTATTCCCCGGAATTCATTCAAGATCCTAAGCGGCTTTCGGGAATGCCTACGTGCTCGAATAATGCTCTAGCTTGGAGAATAAGAGGTCACAGAGAGATGAGGAGCGGGTTCATCAATTTCGGGATGACGTCAATCCAAACTGTGAGAGGCCACCTCGAGGAAGTGTCTCAAGCGCCAGTTTCAGTCTCTCAGTCTGTCCAAACATCCGCGTTGACCTGGTCTTTTTGATCCGCTTCCGCGATCCGAGGTGAGGAAGTTTGATTGAAAATAAAGGCGAACCTTCCTCCGGAGCGGAGGCAGAAACATTCTCGAATGAGAGTTCTCAATGCTGGCTCCAATTCTATCAATTCGGTATGATGAACGGTGTATCCATCAGCTCGTATGTGGAAGTCGGGAAACTCTTCGTTCTCATTCGGGGCAGGTATAGCTCGATGGAGCTTCCCTGTTTTTCCTACAGACCGGATCAGATAGCGGAGCTAGTGAGCCGAGTGCACTGACTTCGTTTCAACTCGTGATTCCAATACGAATTTCCACGGGGATCCCTGCCCCTGCGGCTTACCCGTCGGTGAAAGTTCTAAGCCGGCTGTAGGCAGGACAATCCGTGCTCCGGTCAAGGTGCCGCCGTATCGGTACCATTGAGCAGCGTGTGATGAGTCGGGGCTCAGCTCATGTCAGAGGAATAAGGGACTTCGCTGCGCAGACCGGAGAAAATCTCGACTTTTGCCACCGAACGAGCTGGATACCGCCACCGATCGAGAGCCAATTCATGCGCCCGCGCCGGTCGGAACACTGTCATACAGGGAGCGCGATGCATCGATGTCTAGAGTCCGAGCGATACGCCCGAAGGCACAGAGCTCACGCTGGGCTCTGCGTGCGACCCGCGGTTCGGCGCAGTGTCATAGCAACCCGGAATCGATGCGCTCCTCCTACTTAGAACACATCGCTGCACCTTGAGACGTGTTCGCTGGAAATTCAGTCGCACGGAATTCTCTAACTTCGGAAGAGTCCGATCGAGTCGATTTCCGACTCGACCGATTCGAGAATGCTGTGGATTTGTGTTTCCTCGGGGGTGAGTCTGATCCAGAGGCCAAGCCTCCAAGCCACGGAGAATCATCGCGCCGTGCGGAAACGCGTTAGACTGTACCCTCAGACGTCTCGATTAGTGAACGATGTCGCTATTGAGCTACATAGATAGCTGGTTCATGGGCTGGCGCTTCAAAAATGCGACGGGGTGGTGCACTTGCGGGCTCGGCGAGCGCCCCTTGTCAGCTGCTCAAGAATCGGACTGGTCAGATAGCTTTTGCAAACGCTTTCGATCAAAACTGGCTTGACGAATGATCCAAGTCTGGGTGACGCCGCTTCATATTTCGCCGTATCCCTTGTCAACCGCCATCTGGTTGAGCCCACGACGTACGACCTTGACTTGGTTCATGCGTCCATGGCTCGTTTTTGGTGTAATCCTATTCGTTCAATTTTTTGCTCATCCCTGGATATATATGTATGTTCTTCCCTGAGCTCCAAAATATTCGTTCTCGCCCTTGAGTCGGATAATGTTTGTCAACCAAGTCACGCATTACGGGCACACGGTGACCTGTATGTGTGCGAGTACCGGGTCCTTGCTCGCTACCTGACGATTTCTCAGAGCACCGATATGGGCAACAAGTTATGAGAAGGAGGGGGGATACTCTCAGAGATCCTCGGGGAAAGGGGTATCTCCACGGGAAGTACAGTGTAAGAACGGATCTCGGAAAGCAGTCGCTGTAGTCGAATGAACCAGGAAGAATGCGATTCTGCCGACGCTTTCGTTTCGTCAGAGAAAGGCAGGAATAGGTAATTATGCCCAGATCAGTGATCGGTGATTTGCGGGAGATGGGAGTTGACATTTGGATGAGCTCTCACCGGACCGCGCTCGGTATATGGTTCGGAATCGTCGATAGCTGATCCTGTTTCTGGGAGTTCCGTCCCTCCCGAAAAGTTATTTTCGCGGATCAAATGTTCGTTGGTGCGTCCCCTCCTTGAGCGGACCGAATGTCCAGCGACACATTCGCTCACGACGCTTTCGGCTTCCCGCGAGATACTTGCTCAACATCGTCGCCTCATCGGCTATTCAACGACCAAGACGGTGCTCGGTGGAAGAATCCGATTGTGTCAAGAAACTTGACAAAGCGAACGAGGAAAACTTCGGTATCGTTGTTTCAGCAATTTTCGCTGCAGAAACCCACAGTGGCCAAAGCTTCGGGATACCGAAAGAGGCATTCAATCGACCGCCGGCCAAGGAGCCGCCCGCCCGCCTATCCGGCCGACCAATGCTGCTTGCCAGCGCAGCTCTTCCTATCTGACTACATGGCCTTTGTTCTGCGTCGTTGAGAAAAAAAGTTCGCCGAAGCCCTTAACGTTCTTGCTTTGGGCCGAGTAAAACTACTCGGTTCTATCAGCTCGAGAGATAGGGCGATCATTGATGAACATTCTACCTATAGGTAAACTCGCGGAGGCTCGTACGTCTACGTATTTCGGCAGCTGCTTGCGTACGCTTTTCGTTTTCCTCCCCTGCGGAGGATGTTTTCACGTCTCGAGCATCTGGAAAACAACGGAACGAGAGAGATCGGTATCCAGGTTGTCGTCGGCTCTGCCGTGAAAGAATTCTGTTCCGCTCTAGTGTTTGTCCGCGACGGAGGCGATGTCTGGCGAACAACGTATTTGTCTTGACCCGGCTTGTTTGCGGCGCGTCCGGAAAAAGAAGAACTGTTACTCTGCCGCGGCTCCGAGGTACCGCGGGCGTATTTTACTCCCTCCGTTCAATGCAGGAGCCGATGCAGTCGTCGTCGTATCGAGATGGAAAACACGGGAACCATTCCGTAATTCTCTATGGTATCGATGAGGCTGTCTATCGGTGGCCAGCTCCACAGCCTGGCACCAACTCGCCCTTATTTCGCGTGGTTTTACGGGTTGATGATCTAGTGACTTCCCACTTATTCCACCCGTTCGGTTCTAGCGTCGCTGACCCAGAAAGCGCGAAGGTCGCGTAGAGCTTATTTGTTCCATGGAGATGCGGTCCAGGGACGACGGTCCGATGGGACCAAATCGAATTCGAAGCGGTCGAGAGGGGGAAATAGCATTGTGGGAACATGCGAAAATTATATGCTCGATTATATATCGTTTTGTTCGAGGATACCGTATCGACAGGTGTCCGTGGATCGGCATCAATTTCAGCAGGAAGTAAATTCGAGATATCTTCAAAGCCGAGTCATTGACCGCCGATTCAGAATGATCACGTCGAATCGAAATGCAGCTGCTCAACCACAAACGAAGCTTTTGAATTCCACTCAACATTTGGCGTGGCGTTCCCTCGTTCATCGACGATTTCGCGTGTTCTGCAATAAGTTTAGAATGAAGTGATTCCGGATGAGGGAATCGACTCTCAGAGGCAACGATGGCCGCTCAGAATTGAACCAGGAGGACGCGTCAGACTTGTGCTCCGCGATTACGACCGGAAATCTTGACATCGATCCGAAGCTGAGGCTCGAATTCCTGATGTCCTCCCGCGTCGAATGCGGAAGAAACCTCTGCGCGTAAATATATGTCACAAATCACGTATACTTTCTGATGTCAGGGGCCGTTTGTTCTGCTAGGAATCGACTTTCTCGTGAGAACTTTCGATCATAGTTTTCAATTTTTATTTCCAGTGTCCAGGCACGATGGAGAAGACAGACTCAACATATACTCTCAGCCCGTCAGAGTCGGTGCCATCCCTTCATCACCAAACCTACAGCAGGAATTGTGGTCACCAAGTTCCTCCGTCGGTAAAGCACAAGATCAAAGTCACCTTGGAATTCATCCGAAACCTCAAACTCGAGGCTTTCCTTCTAGTCTACGTGATGGCCTTCTCGATGAGACTCATGATAACGCAGGATCTCCTCTTGACAAAGGTGTGTTCATACCATGTCCCAATTGATTCTAAAGTCAAACTTTTCTCGAAAAATAAGCGAAAATATCCCACAAACTTCGGGACCGCTCCACTGTCGAGCGGGCGAGCCCTTCAAGCGGATTTTTTTTTCCCGAAAGTTGTCGAGCGTTCATTATATTTGCCTGATTCTCAAGTACTTGAACGTTCGTATCCGTTGATTGCAGACCTGTCTTCATCATTTAAATTACTCGGAGCAAATGTGTTCGCATCCGACGGAAGAAGTCAAGAGCGAGACAGAGAAAATCGCAAATACAGTCAACCTATTCACCATTTTGGTGCAGCTCGTGCCGTCCGCCCTGCTCTCGATATTCGTGGGAACCTGGAGCGATCGCTATGGTTAGTGCTGATACTGATTACTTCTCTTCGTGGGGGGAATCCTCCCATTCCACCTTCCTCCCCGATTGGAGAGCCCCCTCACGTTTTTTCTTGTGGAAACTTTTTTTGCGGCCCCAGACTGTAACATGGAATTAGGGGTTCGAAGCTTCACGCGGATCTGTCAAAGCGCTAGGCGGCGTCGGAGCGGCGAATACGGACGCGCTTCATCCTTCACCTTATTCCACGAATCTGACAGTTCTTACCGGACCACGGAGCGACTGGCTGCGTGGCCAACCAACCAAGCGACTGATCGAGCGACCGACCGGCGTCTAATTTTAGTTTGTTTCCGTTGGCGCAATCGGACATGGCGCCGCTTACTGGTGATGATGCCGCGCACGTGCGAGCCCGCCCTCCCGTCCGACTGGTGGTGCGAATTGTTTCCAGATAGATATCCCGATCGAAGCGCGGGAAGCTATTTTGAAGCTCGGCATGGGAAAAACACAGCCCAGAGGGAGGAGCACTTGTCGTCTCGATAGTTGCCCTGCGGTAAACACTATGATTGTCACAAAAAATCGCTCGTCAACAGGCAACAAAATGCCGATCCTCATCGCAATATTGGGTGGTCTTGTCACCGACTTTGGTAATGCTTTCACGGCGGTCTACATGGAGAGTTCTCTGTACTGGTCGGTCCTGGCAGCGCTTCCGAACGGCATTTCTGGAGGTCTAGTCAGTGTTTGGGCAGCTGTGTACTCGCACGCCACGATTTCAACGAGTCCAGACCTCCGGACTGTCAAGTTCCTGATGATAACGCTCGCTATCCAACTCGGATTCCCATTCGGACAATTCATATCGGGACAGGTATGATCCATTCGCATCCTTGCGTAACACGATCGGAGCTGGAGGAAGGTTTTCAAATATTCACCGCAATGATTTCTCAATTTTTTCCGTAGGTGTTCAAGTCATGGGGTTATGTACCCGTGTACGCGGTGTCTTTCACGCTCTTGTTAGCGTGCTTCGTGTGGATGCTCATCATGGTGCGAGGTCAGAAGAATCCCGGCGTTTCAAAACTCACCATGGCGAAAGACTTTTTCAAGCTCGATAACTTCGTCGAGGGAGTCCGGACCACGGTCCGAGAGAGACCGAATTCGGGCCGGAAACAAATACTTCTGATGTTGGCCACCATGTGTGTCATCGTTCTAAATGCTGAAAGTGAGTGAAACTCGAAGGAGCGGAATACGCCCTTCAAAATTCATGAGGATCTTCGATGCCGGGTCATCTCATCACGGTAATGCTCTTGACCTCCACTAAATTGAGCATTTCACTTGTAGCAACCCGATCGGTTACGTACTACTTCGTGAAGAAACAGTTCGATTGGTCCGTAACGAAGTACTCTGACGTGACGTCTCTATTCGCATTGGTGAATCTTGTGTCGATTGGGCCGCTCGTTTTGATTCTCACGAAAGGACTAAAAGTTCGCGACGTTACACTGTCTATCATCGGCGTGACATCGATGCTGCTGCAAAATTTCACCAGGGGTCTCGCTTATCGCGAATGGATGTACTACGCAAGTGAGCATCGGGGCCCGTTCATGTACCTACATCTAACGGAAGGAAGTCATTCTCCATGATGAACAGGAATTCGATTCTGTCACTGGATCCCTGGATCAAGCGGGCTAGTCTGGATTTCTTCCATCATGGTGATAATCTTATACTTTCCTCTACTTCAAGGTGCGATCCTGGGCACCGCTGGCGGAGTTTCGACGATTGGCATCACGTCTCATGTTTCACGCATAGTCTCGCAAAACGAGATAGGTAACTATCCAGTGACCCGACGCTTCCGTAGATGATTCCTATCGCTTCTCTGTCGAAGGACGAGTCGTAGACGCATCTTTGTGACGGGGCGCAATGTTGAACCAATCATTGACGGACGATTTAAACCATTCCAGCTCGGATGTTCAGCTTCTGGGCTGCCTGCGAGGCCATGGTTCCCGTGCTCGGCGATGTCATGTCCTCACAGGTGTTCAATGCGACCATTGACGCCTTGCCAGGAGCTCCTTTCATAATTTCGTCCCTGCTTTTGATTCTTCCCCTCGGCTCGCTTGTGTGCGTATAATTCTCTCGTGGATACTGTCCACCTCGCGAGTTCACTGTCGATCGATATTCTAGAACGGTGTTCGACGACTCGTGGAATTCATCTCGAATTCAACTTATCCAAACTTGCAGATACTGTTACCGGAAGTCGATGGACGACTTCGAACTCTTCGAAGAAGAAGGAGGGGAAGCCAATGGGTCCGAGATGGCGTCCTCACCTTCGCTGTGTAGCCCATGAACGAACGAACACTCGGCCCCATGACAGGAGAGCTGGTCAGCTCGTTGTAAATTTTTTCCGCAAGATTCTTCGAACAAAAGTCATCCTGCACTGTTCTTAGGTGGAAATGTTTTTTAAGTTTCGTCGATTTAGAATTGGACGCGTTCCCAGCAGAGCGATCAGCGGGCGTCTGATCGAATGTTAACACTGACATTTCTAATTTGATCACTGCTGATTCAGACGACGATTGTCGATCGGCTGCTGTGATATTGAGGCCGCGAGCTGCGACTGATCGGAACCACATTCGTTCGATCCAGCTCGAGAGTTACTGTTTTGCTCGGGTACCGAGACAGTCTATGAAAATGAGAGTATATATCGTGGAAAGAACTAGCGAGAGAACGAATCTGTATCATTGTTGCGATTCTTCGGCATAACCGCCAGCATTGTATATATATTCATTCTATCGAGCTCGACGTCTAGTCGGGCGAGTATGATCTTACGGGCATATGATCCTTTGGGAGACCTGCTGAGAGTAGTTACAGAGTCGAACTCGGATCCGTCGCAATGGATTCTAGTGAAAATCAGAGAGAGCTATGGTGGAATGCTTGAATTGGTCTGCAATAAAAAGCGATTTCAGCTGCGGATGAGTCTGATTCTGTGAGGTAGTTCGTCCGCTCCGACATCATGTCGGACTCCGGCATCCACCTGGCATGAATCACCCCGCTCGGTTTTTCTTTGAAAGACGGTCAATGGGTCATATGGGTATATTTTCAGAACATGTTGTGGCGACGCTCCCGGGAGCACAATCACGTCCTCGACTTTTGAGTGAGGGATGCGGATGGGATATTTCCCGAAAATGGCCCAACCAAAAAAAATGCATTCGGGTAGACGGATCGAGATTTTCCACAGTTTTCTCTACGCGTTTCAAGACGGTAGGCTTCTTTCGCCACGCACGTTCGGCTTCTCTCACGGCAAAGGATTGCACGTATGGATGCTGTTTGGGAATTCCGTCAAAGAGATAGCGAGGCGAAAGTCCGCAAGCGAACGGCTGCTGGAGGTCGGTTCCCTCTCTCGACGAAGTCATGAGATGACTTGGGAACTGATTCAGATAGCGTCGAGAAATCTCTCCCCGTGATCGCGGAGAATCGGAATAGTCAGCAGGAATCGGTGTACATCGCAAAGAATTTACCTTCCTTTATTCAATCAATCTCACAGTTTCTCTCTTCCGCGGAAACTACTCAGGAATCGTCGTGAATGATTTGGGCACTTTTCCAGGGTCGAAATGCTCGAACAAAACAAAGAGATGGCCATCCGATTATTTACAGTCAGACAAATGAAAAACACCGCTTTTCAATCAACGACTTTTCTTCACCGTTCCTGACGGAGTGATCTGGGACCTCTTTCCTTGAGTCATCCTCCGTGAATTCCCGTTATCTCATTCCGCTCCCCGCGACTCCTTGGGAAGCGACGAACACAAGACCACTGATTCGACTCGGGCGTTCCGAAAATTCAATGGGGACCAAAGACGATGAGAAGAGTTTCGCGCATGTATCGGCTATATACAGGCATGAGAAGGAAAGTTTTCCTCGACGTTGAGGTCTGTTCTCGCGGGCTTCTCGCTCCGAGCTATTCAAGGTACCCTGTGATGCTCCACGAATTTGACGAAAGGAAAATACGAATGAGCAAGAGAGAGGGGGACGAGAACAGAGGTTTCCTGGGAGTTGCTCAAGATCCACTTCTGAACAAATTAGGGTGAAATCAGTATTTCCCTCCCGTTCACTGATTATTACTGCTGCTGCCGCCGCCTCCGTCCTCGATAACTTCGGTCGAGGCGTCCTCGCTCCGAGACTTCTTCTGCTTCTGCTCTTCAGAGTTCCCGTCTGATTGTCGCTTCGAGCCGCAGGACTCTTCCGAAAGGCGGACTATGATACAGGTCATGTTGTCACAGCCGGTCCCGTCGCCGCTAGTGTCCGGCGCTATGCATCGTCGAAACAGCTGCTCGCAGATGTCCGTCAGTTTGTCGCCTTGCTTGTAGCAGGCCGAAACAAAATCGCACACTTCTTGAGAAGTCATGCAGTTCCAGATGCCGTCGCAAGCCAAGATCAAGAACTCGTCCGTCTTTCGGTCGATTACGATCGATTGGACGTCGGGTAGAGGACTGATCATCTGTTCGGCGAGAGAGAATTTCCGGTTCTGTTTGTAGACATGGTCGCCGATGGCACGACTCAAGTTCAGTCCTCGGTTAACCCGCCCGTCAGCCGTTATTTTCCCGCCGGCACGCTCGATTCGCATTCGCTCGGCCGCGTCCTCGGGCTTATGATCGACCGACATGTCAATGGCTTTCCCGTTTCGACAGATGATGGCGCGCGAATCCCCCGCATTAGCGACGGTCAGAAGGTTTCCTTTCAAGAGGGCGACCACAGCCGTGCTCCCAGATCCACTGCCGGGGACGTCGCTGTCGAAGACTTCGACATCCTCGTTGCTAGCGATTTCATCATCGTCTTCTTCGTCGTCGTCTTCGTCATCCTCGTCCTCTTCCGACGAGTCTGCGGCGTCGTCATCGTCAACGTTCTCCGGGTCTTCGCTCTGAAACAAGAGAAATCGTGTAGGTGCATGCTTCTAATGTACCAGTTGACGAAGCTTCATTTCCCTCCTCACATCGAGGAGCTTCTGTATTTTCGGCGAATTTCCACGATCGAAACTCACGTCCTCCTCGCTGCTAGACTCGCTTTCTTCGTCATCCTCGTCGTCGCCGTTATTATTGTTGTTCTCCTCGTCGGTGATGATACGTCGCGCTTTCTGAGCAGCCGCGCGGCCGCCGCGTCCTAAGGGTGCGTTTGAGGGAGCGGGAGGATCTTTGGTCGCGGACGAAGCAACTTCATCGGAGGAAGAGCCCGCGGCGATAGCTTTCGACACGTCTGAAAATTGGAAGACGTTTCTGAATCGGCTGAGCTCAGCTGGTCTCGTGAAACCCCATCGGGTTGAGCTCTGGCATCAGAGGGAAGTTCGCCCGCTACTCACCTTTCGGTTCCTCGGGGTCTTTCTTCGCGACACCGTTTTTCTCTTCCTTCGGTTTGCTCGTCTCAGTTCTATCTTTTTGGTCCCCTTGCGATTTTTTATCAGTGACTTTCGCGACTGCTTCGCTGCTGTCGTCATTGTTGTCGCCGACAGCAGCCTCCTCCATGGAATCTCCATCCGCTTTCTCGTCCGTACCGTTCGCTTCCTTCTTCCTGTTCTTCATTTCTTCCCGTGCCTGCAGTTGGACAAAACTGGTTGCAGGAAGCCCCAGGAGCGGACATTTACATACACGGCTAGGTTGAAAATTTGAAGATAAAGCTCAGGTCACGTTACGTACTTTCTTGTAGATGTTCAAAATTTCTTCGAGCGGCATCCTCGCTTCTTCGTGGAGCTTGTCTGTTTCTTCTATCACTTCTTCCGCGTCGCCTTCATCCGCACTATCGTACTGAGCTAACTGTTTCAAAATTTCGATCGTCCCCGGTTCCGTGAGTGTCTGATCGAACTTGAGGAACGCGTCGATGAGCGCTTGTTTGAAATCCCCCGCTTTATACGAGCTCAGGGTTTTCACGAAGATCGGCAAGTGCAGCGAGCAGTACTTAGACACCTGCAGAGAGAGTAGCACGAATTGATTCCGATCATCATATCCTTCCAGACAGCCTCCTACAGAGTAATATCGACAGCAAAGAGACCTATATCGATGAGGTACGGAAGAACTCATCCGCATCCTTACCTCACTGCCTCCATGCCCGTCGTAGACCGCAAAGAACGAGCAATCGTCATCGAAATCTATTATACAGTTGTGGGCATCTTCTTGGCTAGTTCGCCAGCCCTGCACCGAGGATGCACCGAAAGACAGGCCTCGGCCGGAACCACTCGAAGATTCCGGCTCGAAAATTGGTCGCGACCGATACGCTCCCATTTCCTTGTTTCTGTGGAGGTGGAAGTCATCATTATATGGATTCACGCTAAGCGGCTAATCCAGCATTATATGAATGGTCTCGACCCTCCGGCAATTTCTCGAAGGAAGACATCCCCGTGTTGGCCCGATCGAGGAGCTCTACTGACCAGATCATTCCTCTGCTTTCGAGCTTCGATAGAGTTCTCATTCAATCAGACACAGTTCGCCGCGCCGATCGATACGTGACCATTCGTTCCGTCGCGAAGGAGTCAAACAAACTCTCATAGGACATGAATTGTGAGCTCGTTCCGGAACTCCTTGAACATTTCTCAGCCGACTTCTTCGTCTTGACAAATTTCTGATTTTGAATGTTCATGGCTCGAGCACGTGATTTGACCCGCAATTTATGACTCGGGATCGACTAAAGGTCCTGTTATCGATTCATCCATCGGAAAGACAGAAGCTTAGGCTGCACGATCACTTCGAGGAATACGAAGACTTACAATATCTACGAATGTAGGGATTTCAGGTAGATAAGTGACTGAGAGCAAGATTGATCATGTCGTCGAGTTCCAGCCCGCTTGAGACAAGTTCGACGCCGGTGTGCTTGTAATCGATATTGCAATAGCTTGGAGCGTTCACGTTTTCCTTTATTGGCTGTAGGGTAGTCCATGAGAAAGCCTCGGAGAACAAAACACGCTATCAAGCATATTTCCTCAACTGACACGAGTTTCAGATGAGCGGTTTCTGTCGCGGAGCCGCAGCCCCATGAATGATTTCCCGGGGAACCCGCGGAAGTAACAGGGCTCCGTATTCGAAGCTGGAACGTACGGATTCTATTCCCGACGTGCGCTTCCGACGATGTAGAGGATCGATTGGAGAAACTCCGACCACCGAGAACGCGCTTACCTTCCTTAGAGAGATCTCTCCGGATGCGATCTTGTAGCGAGAGGCGACACGTTCTTGCGCACACCGAGCTCCGGCACCGAGTTCGCGTTTGGATATTGGCGCGAGATCAAAACAACGAGGCTTTTGTTTTGGTGAGACACGATGAATTCACAGCGCCGACCAACCGACAAGCTCTTGGACCGAACAGGAGAGCAGTAGCAGCGGCTAACAGAAGTTATGGTGGCAGCAGCGGCAGCACGACGAAGGCGACAGCGGCAGCGGCGGGAACTAGAAGTGAAACCCGGCATGTGCGGCTTCGCGGCTGCAGGCCATACTTTTCGAGAGATTGTACGAATGCTCGAGAGACAGTTCAATTGGCAGCATGTCGAGGCAGCGGGGAGCTCACAGGATAAGAACAGGAAGCGAAACTGGACAAAAGCGAAATCTTTTGACGCGAGAGAATGGAGACGCTGATGATCTTTGTTGAAAGTCCGCGCGTGAACGGGCTGTCTCGCCGATGTCCCCGGACTCCGATACCCCTGTATCAACAGCTCATCGTGCATCACAGGGATCCAACCTCGGACCGGGGCCACATATTACCACGGCCACCTGTGGTCATGCGTGGGCGCAATAATGAACTGCCTACGGTCGATCGAGGTTTTCAACAGTTTTTGCATCATCGGTTGGCAACAACCAGATGGAGAGCCGAGGCTGTTCGGAGATCCGGAGCCGGAGGATAATGAATTTTCCGGTTATGCGGGGGAGCATTGGAGCTGCAGCATTGCCGCTGAGGGAACACCGAAGACACCAGGTGAGGCGCCGGCTGGCGGACCGAATTCGACCACGGTCGAATTGTCTTTGCCTTGAATGAAGTATGCGTTTTCCGAGGCCGGCATTGTAGGAATTATTTAGTCTGGGAATTCCAGGACTTGGTCTCCTGCTCGCTGAGCAGGCACTCCACCGTACCTAACTAGATATCCCAGACCACTCCTGGAAATGGCTCGAGTTCTAAAAATCGTAAATCCAGGAAGGCATTTATGAAGGAAGGCGATCTCATCGTCGACAACTGAACTTCTTTTTATATGTATATACGCATGCATTCCATGTAACAGAGTTTTGCATCGTTCCATGTGCCGCTGGGTCCTCCCCGTGCGCCGAGGAGATGCGCGACGGGGGAATTACCGTTTTGTCAGGGAAACGATACGAGGAAGCCCCGGTTTCGCGTCGGAAAATCGCGAACGATTCGACTCCCTTCGAATAGACCGAACTTGATAGACTTGTAAGCGGCAGTCTCGTGAGGGGGCAATCCCCCTTCTTGTATGGAGGGGAGGAATTCCATGGACACGAGCCGCCATAGGCGATGTATTCGTTGAGTTTCGTATAACAGCGATAAATAGAAAATCTGTGGCTCGTCTTTGTGTAGCGCTCTCCGTACAGCGGGTGGACTACCGCGAGGGATCCCTCCAGCCTCGCTCCGTCTCGCTTCCGGGACCCCTCTCGCTCGGACTCGATCAGCAACAGCTCCCTCGACGCGGGACGTTCCGGCTTTTACGCCTCATCGCGTTCATGGCGAAAGCCGGTCGTAGAGTCGCGTAACGTTGTCGTGGAGGAGCTCTTCAAGCTCTGCAGGAGTTAGAATATCGATTGTCTTGTCAGCCATCGAGATCGTATTTGAATAATTGTAGTAAAAGTTGAATAATTGCATTAAAGCAAAGTAAATGAAATTCCAACTCACCAGTCGGGAGGTTCCCGATGACAACCTGCTTCTCTAGGAATTCAAGGCACAGCTCCAAAGGCAACCCGAAGGCGTGCATATTATGCGTGAAGGTGGCTAATTGACTGAACGTGATTTTCTCGAGACACTCCCGCTGCAAATTAATGAAAACGCTGAACTCTCCGGGCCATGCTCACGAGCCATAGGAAATCATGTGCGATGCCCATGACTAGAGCTCGGAAGTTCAGGCATTCTACCATAAATGTCTATGGCCTCTTTTTGGACGCTTCTCTATCGAAAATACCAATTGAGGTTTTTCCTTGCTCAAAGTGCCTTTTTAAGCGAACAAGACGCTGAATTCCGGGGGTTTCGGGACAATTTAGGTCCACGAATGGATTCGACGATGAATAAGGTCGGGGAACCCATGCTCCAGGAACAAGTCCTGCTTCCGATAGAATCCGATGATCCGCCTAGACGTCAATTTTTCTTTTCGATGATTCGAAATCTATCACAATTTCGCGATAGAAATTGTGCCACCAATCAGACCGGTCTCGATCACTGGCTGATGGGACTGACGGTCGGATGCGGCGTTTGCCCCGCACATCACGCCTGTTTTGCCTAGTTTTTGTGCCTATTCTAAGGTATTCTGGTGCCTTTTCGCCTACCATTTCCGGCATATTTCAAAGCCTGAACTTCCGAGCTCTACTCAAATTTCATGAGAGCCTACCTGGGACTCCCGGTCGGGAACCTGCATGACGCCTCCGACCGTCGTCGTGGGAAGGTTGAACTTTGCGCGTTCCGAAAGAATCGCTTCGAAAAAAGCGCAGTTCCAGAAGGTCAGACTTTTCCAAATCCTCTGCGGTGCGAGATGTGTGTAGAGGTGTTCGCGTTCCGAATTTTCATTCTCGACGTAGAACGTAAGACACATGTTCATGAGAACTTTTGCAGGTGACCAGTCGTGGGCCTCGTTGCATTCGAACAGGATCACGGCCAAGCTCTGGTTAAGACTAAGGAAGGCGCCTTCTCCGACCCGCTGATTTCCGACACGCTTTGCGTTCAAGGCCCGAGCAAACGCGTCTCGGCCCTGGGCCATCCTGGCTAGAGCGCCGAACTTTGCCTTGTCAGTTTGGCTGATCAACTCGTAGTTGTCGAAAATATTGTCGACGTAAGTCTCCATGAATGCAATGACTTCATCGTTGCTTGGAACTACGCTAGCCTGGTGCTCCTCGTCTCCACCGCTTGAGAAGGAACTTGTCGATCCGACTCTGCGATTAGAATTTTCAAATATCAGATCGAAGTCATCAGAGCTCAGGTATTCCTCACGGCCGCAGAGTCCAGGAATTGCGGGAGATAGTGTTTGCCTGGAGCGATGTGAGTCAAGCAGGAAGACCTAAGAGTAGAGGAGGGAACGAACAAAGAAAGGAAGAAGGAAACATTACCTCATGCAGGAGGACTCGGCGGTACTGCTCCGATTTTGATGTGGTCGATCTTCGTGCTCCTCGATGTCCGAGACATCGATCTCACAGTCCGACGCAATGCTACTCATAACGCTCGTCGGCGTATCGTCGACGTCGTGTTCGCCGTTCGAAGGGGAAGCCGAGCCTATCCGGCTGTTCAGGACGTTCAGTGATCCCTGACGAAAGATCAATGGGGATACGTCGGAATTCGAAGCATCCGCGGTCGGAATATACATATTATTTCATGGCTAGACCAAGCATGGAGATCGTAAATACTAGAACTTACGCGATGCGTATCGTCATCCAAGGCGGATAAACTATTAAGGCCACTGTCTAGGGAGTCTCGAGATCCGTCCTCCTGCCTTGTGCCATGCCTGGAGCTCTCGTTACTCGATCCTAGTCTTTCTAATTTATTCGACTTCGACTTTGCCGCCCGCTTCTTTCCCATACCCTCTTTCCAACTGAAAAGGAAGCCAAGGTAGTAGCCATGTTCTCACGGAGGAATTCTGTCCACGCAGGGCATACAATTCCGGGATTTGAGCTTGTAAAGCCTTGGACGAGTCTGAAACTCACCGTTGCACTTTTTCCGCCACCGAGCACTGTTGCATTTCCATGGAGAGTTTGAAGTCCAAAGAACACTGCCCCGATCGCCGTCTACTGGGAGCGTCTAGAGAGCCGACGCTCTCGCTTTCGCCTTCAGCAGAGGGAAAAAAAGAATCGATGAACAGATGATGTCGAGCTGACCTCATTCTTCATCTCGATCTATTTTATCCATCGCTTGGGCCACAACGCGTTGCGGGAGCCACGATTCATTGGATTCGGATCGGAAACTAAAGAATTCGATGTTAAGCTCGGTAACGCGATATGTGCCTACCGTTTCTCGAAGCGAACGCGGAGTCTGCTTCAGACGAAATCATTGACGCGACCGAGTTCTTGTGCGCGCAGCCGCCCTGTGATAGAGAGAATGGCCCCTGTCTGTCACCGCTGACCCTTCTCTGGAACATTCGTCGAATATATTCATTCCGGAATGAGCCTGGGGACTGTCGAGGCTTACCTTGGATTGTTTACCGGTGGAAGTTTGCGGGTCTGATGGAGCTGCTGACGACGGTGCTGGTGCCGGATAGTATCGTCCACTTGCGGTCGAGTGCGCCGAGTTGTGGAAGAGTAAACCAACGAGCTGCCGCATCTGACGCACGCTCCGAGCTCCTTGTGTCTCGCAACACCCGGGAGCGCTCAGTCGGCTGGTCATCAGAAATTTAACGCATTTGCCAACACCCGACAGTCGGCTGCTCTCTGCGGAGGACACGGAGCGAACGTCGATTAGTGATCCTGAGCAGTCTTCGCGAGGTCCGCTCAAGGACGCTCCTCAGCGGCCGTAGGATGCGAATCTGGGGGAACTTTGAGCATGCTCCAAGAGGTTCCAGGAGTACCTGAGGCTGTCTGCCGAGCTTCCTGGGAGCCGAGGCTCATCTCTTTGGAAGAAATGTCACCAACTCGAATAAATCACTTTTGCAGGAAGATTTCCGGCATCAGTCAGCTCAGCTGACACTTCCACATTTGGACCTCGTAGGGAATCCGCCGAAATCGAGAGAGCACGGAGGCTCAAAGCTCCAGGAGAATAGGATCGATCCGATAAAACCTACATGGCCAAGAGCCGCGCTGGGTGATCTCACAGAGACGATCGACTTGAACTCCGACCGAGCTTGTGGAGCACGCATCCGTCTTGGGTCATGCTCCGTTCAATGATGACATACGAGCATTCGTAATAGATAATGATAATGATAAATCAGACGAGCACTTAGCCCGTCCCATGTTGGAGCAGAGAAGCCTCCTTCGGGCGGAGTTTCACCTGCGCACGAGTCAAAGGTTGCATCTGAAAGTGTCAGATCCTACGAGAATTGGAATCAATCCAGAACTTTCACTTTTCTCTAAGTCGCATCACTCCTCCTTCCAAGTCTACGACGAGTTTCCGAAACTGAATGGGTCGTTCCACCATCGATTCCCCTATACTCCTCCCAACTTCCATGGAAGCAGTCTTTGACGTTGACACAAAATCTGAACAATTCATTCCAAGGTATGAGTGCTGCCGGGAGCTCACTGGGAAGCCCGAATGAAGTACCGCTGTGAATCAAATAAAAATCGGCACACACATTTCAGCTGGATGGAGAGGTCCAGATTACCCAAGTACGATCGTGACCGTCGAGAGCTCGCGTACACGTCTTCCGAATTCACGCGCTCGACGTCTCCAGTTGTGAGACTGAGAAGGACCGCTCATCATTCTCTCTGACACGAAGGTCTCCATGGAATTCAGAACGCCCTCAGCAAAACGATGCGAGTACTTGAGATTGTTTCTCCGATCTCCAAGGTCCATCGCCGTAGTGAACACTCCACATAGGATTCAAGAACGCCATTCGGTCTGGGCTCGCCAATATAGCGCGTCGATTCGACTCGAATATGCATCTCCTCGGGCTATATGCCACGCCGACTCCGAAAGGCTGAAGGATACCTGACGTCTGACCATTGTTAGAGATACGCTACAGGGATTCCCCAACTCGGATTGTTTCTCGAGCCAAGTGGAAAATATTTCCAGTGCGTGTTGACTTATCCAGATCTTGAATAAACGCATTCCCTCTCAACAAAGAGTGCAATTCACCGACATTTAGTCGATGTGATCCAACTGCGATGGGAGACGATCAACAATTTATAGGAAACGATCAGCTCCGAAAGATTTTAGGGAGCCTTCGGCCCGATGAGTTTTCATTCCGCTCGAATCAGGTCGGCAGGTGAATCCACAGAAGCCGCAATTGGAGCCGCTTCGAATGGATGCGATAGTCCCCTCCATATCTCCGGTCATTGATTCTCACTCGGACCTGAGAATCATTCGGGCGTCCTTCGAGATTCAGGGCCAGGTGAAACTTCATCTACGGGCAAGGCCGAGCCCAGAGCTCAGCTTGCAGAATTGGAGAAGCTATTCCATGAATTCAATTTAAAACTTCATAGAAGCGATATATAGGTTCCAGTAACGAGCATTGCGGCCTCCGACGAGCCAGGCACAATTTTCCTCAAACAAGTTCCCCATTCCACCAACAAAGGAAAACAATGATTTAGAATTTCCTGCGGATTTGTCTCATGCTGAGAAGAGGCTGTCGAGGATCATCGGATGCTCACTCGTAGAGGAACTCTTCGAAATACAGCCCCCTCAGAAACACTGATTTCGGAAAACCTGCCCGGATAGATCTATCGAGGCATCTCCGGCCAAAGAGCATCCCGAGCGCGCTCGAGAAACACGCCGAATATCGCTAATAAGATCAACCTTATAAGCTTCTGAACAGAACATCGGAACATCTGACGAGAACCGTAAAAACAACATGGTTCCCGGGAGTTCCGGACGGAACAGCTCCTGGGCCGCTCACAGCAGACGTCAGAAGAACGGCTTTCCCACTCAAAGATTTTACTCAGCAGGTTCGTGTAACTGAGAGCTCGAGCAAATTTCCCTCTCGTGGGCTTGATCCGGACTGGTTCGAATGAGCACCGAGGCAGGATCCCGTCCAGGAACCGAAATCCTGCGCCCGATCCCAGATATCCGAGAAGAAGAGCAAGCATCGTCCGAAAACCCGATACAGCGAATTCACGAAGCGATCGACACACGATGCACGGGGAAGAATAATCCCAGCTTCTCGGTCGAAAATACCTTTCTGGAGAGACATCGTCCTCAGGGTGTTTGCTTCTGCGAAGATTCCTCTGAGCTGTATCCAAGGAGCGGGATCGGAGATGCCAAGAGAGAATTCCGACAGATCCGCCAGTCGAGAAAGACCGGACGGACTGTCAGAACGTGTTCGCGGTGGCAGCGTTGAGGGTCCCGGGTGAGGAGGATACAAGGCTAGAAACTGAGCGTAGACATTTCCTCTCGCTCCGAAATAACTTTCACGACTCACAAGGGCCGAGAGAAAGATCATCATGAACTAAAACCCGACTGGAAGTCGCGATGCTGTGCGCCCAGATGTTTTTTTTTCAAGTCCACTCGAATCTGTCGATTGGCAAATATCCTTGCTAGCGTTGCTATCGGATTCATTTCTCCCAACGCTCATCCAAACTGTCATCTACCTCTCCGATCTGAGATAGTCGGAAGTTCCAGCACCGATTCCTATCCGACTTTCAGCGCGACGACCCTCCTGGTCCAACAAGGGTAACTACCTCCGTTTCTGTCGCATCTCTGGCAGCGAATCCGAATGCCACCGGCGCACAACGGATAACGAAGTGTTGTTTGTTCCCAGGTCCACTGAAGGATGAGCTTTGGGTGATGCTCAGCAGCTGTTCTAGGATGAACTTTACCATGCGCTGTCGTTCACACTCGCCAAGGACGAAGATTTTCGAACAGACGAACAGCTGACACCGACTGCAGTAATATGTCCGCAAAGCATCCCGATTGGGTGTTACCTAACTCAGTCGAGCGGATAGCGGTTGGAGCTGATCGACGAAAACCCACTGAGATCAAATTAGTCGATGGAAACGGCGACTAGTCCGACATCTCGAAGGTATATGTGAGAGCCGGAGGGCGTCGACAGAGCGCGGCGATTGTGGAAACTCGCCACGTTGCTGACGGAAATCGTGGCCGTAAACGGCTATTTTCGGAAATTTCCCACACAGTATGCGGGATCTGTCCCGTTTCTCCGGCTGAGCCGCCATCGGGTCCGACACTCCGGGAAAAGGAGATCGCTTGAAGATCACTCGAGAAATCACTTAATTCCTGCGAGTTGCACGGTTTTGCGCTTCGTTCCAATCACATTCTCCCACAGAGAGTCCTGTCGATACGCGTGAAGGGAGTCCTTCGGATGCATCGGAATGCGATCGAATCGATCCCGGACGTCCCTGGCACTCGACTCGCGCGGCAGTGCGTATCAACTCCAGTCGGAACTTTTTAGTTTCTTGTGTTCCGGAAAATCATGAATTGTGAGATACCCGAACGCGTACGCCGATACTCACGACGAGAATCCCGGAGTGGTCTCGGCAACAAATCGAGAATCGACTCGATCCAGACTCACCATCTTCCGTCGCTGCCTCACCTCGGACACGCTCTGCCTCGAAGAAATCGAATGGCAGAAAGCGAGTTCATGGATCGTCACAAACTTTTGCTTCGAAGTCTCTCGAAATCAAGGAGGCTGCCATTTTCCTCGCGCATGCGCTGAATTGTCCTCGGGCGCGGGTCGGTACGCGCCGTACCAGAGTTGAAACTCCGCCAAAGACGCTACTCACCACAGCAAGACATCCGCACGGTACAAGCGTCCGCGTGGCGTTTGCTTCAACAGGGTGATGGCACGGACTTCTCGGAGAGAATATTCCATCGTAATTAACCTCTTCGATGCACGAAAACCGATGTACGTCCGTGGAAATTCCCCACGGGGAAGCAGGCAATGCGACGGAATATCCCGCCGCCATGGAACTCTCGGACATTTCGTTGGTTTCTCCGTGAAAGTTCCTGGGCCAGAGAGACCCGTGAGAGCGTGGTCCTCACTAGCCTTAAGCCGCGTTTTGCCTTGCCGGAGTTATTCCACAAAATTGCCTGATTTGAATCCAGAATACTGGGGAGCGAGCATTAGGAGCGGTTCCTCCTCATTTTGATATAGAGATGAGATGGAGTTTTTGAGGAGCGTGCTAGGGAGTGATCTTATCCGATCGAATGATCGCGGACATCTAGATCAGTGCTCTCAAGCTCGACCAGAGCATTTATTCATCCATATGACCTGGTCTCGCGTGATGGATAATATTATGGGGTCCGAATCGAAATTGAATTCATCATGACGCGAGTTCATTGGTATAGAAGGGTCATTGAGGTTTGTCTCTATATGTGCCCCAGAGATCCATGGCGGTCCTTGAGCTCGTAGGTTTGAAGTCTACGATGTTGGAATCAACTTCCATGGGAAGATCGCAGATCGGTCTCGACAGTTACTGTCTTCAACATTTATGAATTAAACAGATTCGTCGCAGGTTCATTCCCACCAGAGTTCTGCTGTCAATAGTCGAGACAGTGGATTCACCTTCAGATTGGGATGTTCACCGACTGGATGAGGGTGGCGGACTTGCGCGCCGTGTAGGACACACTGCGGGAAGTTTTCGGCGGGACAAGTGAAAACACGAATGGTCAGTGGAGACGTCTCGAGACTACTGTTTGTTACTGGAGCTCAGACTACTGTTTATTCCAAGCTAAATATCGATCCAAATATCTGTGATACTTACGGGGCGGGCAGGTCGATCTCGTCAAGCGTTGAGTGAGTCGGAGACACAGATTTCATAACCGCGATGGGTCTGATCGGTATTCTCGACACCCCTGACCAGACCGAAATGATCGAGATGACAATCAACCGCAACTCTCGGGGATAGTTTGGGACTGCGTATTCGCATTCAAGAAGCCGTACCGAGGAGAACTACGATGTATAGAATATATATGGAAATATCTCCGAGCTTATCTAATCCCGTCATGTCAACGTCCATCTATCTCGGATCACGAGAGGCGGGGTCAAGGCAGCAGAAGCTTCATCACGCCCCACCCCCCCCCCCACCCTCTCGGATCGGACTTCTCGAACCGATTTAACTGGCTCGGATCTAATTCCTCCGCGTCGCATCAAGCTAATACGATGAACGAGTCGCCGCGTCATCGCTTCGGCTCGATGGGGTACTTAGCTCAGCAGACGCGGACCGGAGCTATTCGAGTCTCGGTTCGAGCAGTGGAATCGAGGCAGAGTTCACACAGATTGACATTCTAAGGGATCATAGGTGACACATTTCGACATCTCACGATTGGGTATGCCGATCAGGCCAAGAGAGTAGCGTCAGAGGGCTGATTTTTCAGCATTCCTGATCGTTTTCCGCTGCTGCTCGTGGTTGAACATCGATCCTTGGCGCGGTCCGGATAACAGCTTCCGGGAAGTCGTCGGGTGGGAAATATCACACTATGGATCGCTGATCGAGAGCTTCGAAAGACTCATCTTTAACAATGTTGAATCGATTATAAGATCTATCTACCTAGATAGGACGCCAGCAGGCTATCTCTGGGCACTCCATCAAAATCTGTATCGATGGATTCATTGTCATCGATCCAAATCCTCGCGGAGGAAATCGCCCTCCGATCGAGACCGTGGAGTTGCGGAGATACATATGTCATTGAAGCTCAAGTTCCTTAGAATCGTCCTCAGCCTCCGAGGCATCGAAGGCCGGCTCTCCGCGCAATGGAGGGAAATTCTTCTTACTTCTCCTCCACGCTTCCAGAGCTCAGGGGTTGACGTCGCGCGTCAAGGACACGAGAAGACGTTGTCCTGCTCAGAGCACATTTCATCGCAGTGGGATACACAGAGAATTTTCTTACTCTTCCGGCGATACGTCTGCGAAGGGCTCATTGTCGTATGCGAGTCCCTCGAGTTGCGCCGTGAAGCTGAGCAGTCCATCTGATAATGTCACATGCTCGCTGGAAGAGAGATTCGTTGTCAGGCTAGGAACTTGGAAGACAGAGCGCGTTTTCCCTCAGACGACGAATTAAGGGAATCAATCTGGCGTTCAGAGCCCACCGAGCGATCTGCACACGAACCTGTTTCGGTCGAAAGCGAGAGTTTACTGGCGTTCTCTACAAGCTGCTTAAGAGAGAGCTCTCGCGGAGCACTGATCTGTTTCTGCGGACTGACTTTCAAGCCGACCTGGTAAACGAGCGATAAGAACGTCTCGCTGTGAAGAGCTTGGGATTGCTGGCAGGTGAAGTCAACCACCGGCGTGTCGCGATCCAACAAGAAACTATACATCGATATAGCTTCCACTGGAGAATGCATCGACGGTCGCTTGTATTGGTTGACTGAAACGAGAGAAGATACTAAACATGGCGAATTCTCATGGATGGATCTTGGATAGAAACCCGAGCCGGGAAGCGGTTCGAAGGCGGATCACAAGATTCTGCCAATATAATTTCTCGGTCCCGAGATCGTACTCAGCTTGATGTGGGTCATCTCAAGGAGGACCTTCTGGATCCAAAGCACGTCCGAGGCCCTCCCTTGCTTGGTCAGGTTCTCGAGAATAGCCTCCAAGCTCAGCTCAGGCCGGGGTCTTCCGCTATTCGAGGTGTCGTTGTCGGACTCCGAAGCGCAACTTCTCATCGGTCTTCCATCGAAACTGGTGTTCGAACCCTGAGAGCTGGACGAGTCTTCGGTCTCGAACAGGAGTTGATTGATGTCGTTGGAGATCATTTGCTCACGATGCGATTCCATTTGGAGGTGCATCACTTTCTCCAAGATCTCGTCCCGTTCCAAATGAATTCCTTTCTCCCTATAGTGATCGATCACGGATCCTATGGGATCTTCGTTCTTCGAGAATTTCTGATAACATTCGAGCAGTTTCTGCAGGTTCTTCTTTTGTTCTGGCTCGTTCTCGAACGCGTCGTCTTCTCGATCGTTCGAGTCGCCGTGGTTGTTCGGGTTCTTGCGGTTGAGACTTGAGGTGCTGCCGTTCGAACTCGAATCCGTGGACATATTGGATTCTGAATTGTTGGTGTTGGAATTCTGTCCGTCCAGGGATCTCTGTTCACTGCCGCAGCCGGGTGTCGACGGACGCGGATGTCTATTCAACTTGAGGTAACGATTGATCATCGCGTTCATGAAGTCCCCAAAGCGCTGCAAGAACATCGGTTTTGGAAACTCCTGATTTCCCGCATGATATCTTCGGCATTTTCTGCACAAGACTCTAAGCTGTGGGCGTTTCTGAAGTGCGGGGCTCTTTTTTTCCGTAGGAAGGGAGATCGGACCCACCTCTGGAATCTGAATCTGTGGCTCATTCAGAAGCTCCACGAAACAACAGAGGGTTTTGGGTGTTAGCAAGGTTCCCGGATCGTCCAAGTCGACGGCAACGTGTTGCATCATTGTCAGTACGCAATGATTCACGAATGCGCTGAAACACGGAATTGTAGACAAGACTCAATGTAGCTCTTCTCACGATTTTCGGAGGCAGAGAAACCCCTCAGTGTCCCTATGAGGGCACTCACCAATTATTTCGAAAGTTTTGTAGTACGTCACTGTAGCTATCCATGACCTCTCGATTCGCAAACCTTCGGGAACGATCAAGATAAGTATTTCTTTGAGTATTCAGCTCATGTCCTCTAAGCGAGAATATTGGATGAAAACCAAATTATTTGAGGAGCTCACAAATGCAGATGCTGGCGAACGTCTAACTGGATATCGTGAAGCCGGTTGCACCAGTCCATCAGAATCATCAGATGGTGGTTCGCTGCGATAGCGTCTGATAGGATCGCCAACCTGGGTTCCACCGGCTTCCGTATGAAGTACAACAGGCTGTGTCTTAGGTCCTCCATTTGCACTATGGGCGCTGAAATGATAGAATGGAGTTGAGAATTCTCGCCGTTTCCGATCATACTCTCCGTCAACGAGATCCACATTCCATTCAACTCCCGCCTGAAAACAAGCTTCCTCACCCAAAATGTGAAGAACATCCTCCTTGTAACAGAATTGATCCGCGGAGCATATCAATTCACGAATCGCCTTAATCAGGCATTGATGGCTAGAACAGAGAATAGCGATTAAGAATACCGCTCGGACCACAGGCACTTCTCAACGCGGAATTCACGCCGTACGGTGTAGAAAATGCAACTATCAGGATCGAGAACTCACGTGCGACGGTCAGATTCGGGAAAACCCCCACTATCGTTGTGGTTTCGATGCGAATTCACCGCTTCGTAGACTAGAAGACCCACGATTTCCGGCGTCAACAGCGCTCGGATATGATGAAAGGGGAGCTCCACGGCGACTGACAATCTCATGAAGTACGCTATCAGCCAGCTGATGTTGAACACATGGCGTCCTTTGGTGCTGATGTAGATTTGCTGGAAGAAGTATCATCGTCAATAATGAGTTCTGTCAGAGTGAAACGCTCAAGAACAAGATTCAGGAATAAGAGTCCTCATTTTTCCGGGGTAAACATTGTGAGTTGCGAGGGGAGCCTCTCCTGTCGTCAGCGCCGTCGATGCTTACACGAAGAGTCACCACGAGGGCGGAGAAGCCGCTGTGGAGGAAAGCCACCGTGAACGTAGCGAGCAAATTGCTGAATTCGTCTTGACTGGGAACTTCGGCTGAGGCGTCTCGGAGCATCAAGCGTTTTTTCCTCTCCCACAGAACATCGCGAGCTGAAGCGGAGTTTCTGCATGCGGACTTCGCCGCATCCAGACACACGCTGGCAGTGCACGGATACTTGTGAGCACGGCCCATACTATTGATCGCCGAGGATGATTTACGCGACGAATGCGTTCTTAGCTTCAGACTCCTATTTTGGACATCCGGTTCCATGGAAGAGTCCGAATTCGAAGGACTGTCCTTCGAGTGCATTGCTCTGTGCTTCGACGATGCTTTGTGATGCGGATGTTTGATATGTCCCTTCGTGTGGGCATCAGATGCATCTGAGGAGGAAAAAACCGTTGTCGAAGAGAATCTGACGAGACATCTACTCGGTGTCAGAGACTGACAAGGAATCCTTTTTTCTTTACCATTGTCGGAGCCAGATGATGAGAATTGTCCATTGGACGAGTAGGACATGGCGCTCTCCGACGAAGAATGCGGCGAGTTTGCTTTCTTCGATTCGCTGCCTGTCCTTGTCACGGAATTCGACGTTTGCTCTCTTGGACCTTGCGCCGACTCTTCAGCTTTGGCCGGAGGCTTGCTGCGATCCTTGAAGGCATTCGACTCTTTCGAGGATGATCCGTGGGAATCGCACGATTCCGGACTCGACGAGCTGTGGATTTTGGATTCATGTTTTCTCGATCGTTTATCTACATTCCCTGCTTTGGAGCAGCTCGACTCCTCGATCGAGTGAAAATTCCTTTTAGCATTTCTTCCTCTGAGCAGCGTGAGACCTTCGACTCACTTGAAATCGCATTGAGAGAAGCCAGAATCGTCTTGATTGCCCGAAGAGCTCGACGACCCCGCCCCTTCACTCTCGGTCTTCTTCTCTCGAGTTGCGTTCGCTTGTTGGATCTCTTTGGCCGTGAGTCTGCCGCAACGATTCATTTCGTTCGCCGTATCGCATTTCTTCTCGCCCTCGTTCAATTCTGTAAGCACTGTGGCGGAATTCGGTATCAGTCCGTGAGTCCCTATCGCAAGCCTACGGGATGATTCATGAACGTCCAGGCCTCGATATTCACCATCGCTCCCGTTCGAATCTTCGTTGAGACTGCTCTTGGATTTGGAGGAATCGTCTTCTGCCGAAGAATTTTCTTCAAGCGGAACGAGGCATTCCCCGAGCTGCTTCTGGAGGACCGCTACATCTTGATCTTTGAAAATGAATGAGATGATCTGGACTATAGTCAGCGCCCAGGATTCCTGTCGATTCGGAAACGGAAAAAAAACTCGACTGAGAATAGTGGACCGATGTGGTCGACCTCGACACGCGCATGAAGTTGATTTCTTGCGTTGGCAAATTAGAGTCAATCGCATACCTTGTGGACGCTGTTTATCATGAGGATGAGGACCCCCTCAAGTCCGTGAATTATCAGATTCCAAGCGATTTTGTTCTTGATCTCGATCCATGTCTTCAGGTTCTGTTCGTTCACTCGGAATCGGTTGCACTGGGGCGCATCAGGGACGTAGAGAAGATTTTGAACCAAAGTCAGGTTCAGACATACACTCGCAACTTCGGCAGTGCTGAGAGAACCATTTTCGATATCCTGTGAGAGAATAAGAGCGTCAGGACATGCTTTGAGGCCACCGTACGTTTTCTCTGAACGATGAGAGGAGAGGGAGCCAAAAACAGAAAATCCACTCGCCTTGGTAACTTTGGCCTTGATTGACTTCACCACAGCTTGAGTGGTTCGCTAATCAAGGAAAGTCTTTTTTATCTCCAATGACGTTTTCGACAATCTTTTCAAAAGGTTCCTTCCATTTTTATTTTGGTTGCATCGCTCCGCATCGACCAGATCCTCCAACGGCGTAGTGACATTGACCAATAACCTGCGGAGCGAGAACGAAAAACTTGGCTCGAAAAAAAGCGTAAAGAGCTCGTGTTCGCTTTGTCCCTAATGTAAAGCTCCTAACACCCACTCGTTTTGAAACTCAACATGGCCCTTAATCCCTGAGTGTGATGGATTTACATAAGCGGAATCGGACTCTCATTCGAGAGCGCATCTTCAATGGGACCTCCACCGCTCACCCGTAGGATGTTTTATAGGGAACGTGGGTTGGGATAATTCTCACGTGAGTCATAACAAGCGAGTCCGTTATGAAATGCTTCCGAGGTCTGCCCTCGTCCACGAGAGTCTCTCCCGCGCCTGTATATTACGGGGCGCATCGGGCAGCCTTCGGAATTGTGCAATCGTGGGAGTTTTCCTCAGATTGAGAAAACATATCTCTTCTATGGCTCTCTGATGCGAACAAGAGAAACCCAGAGCTCGCGGTCGAGGAGCGACGGAAAATAGCGGACTCCCGCAACGCTAACAAAATGCTCTCCAGAAGCAAATGCAATATGTTGTCGTTGATAAGATATTATATCGCCCGGAAGTTGTTCTGTACTCACCTCACAACGGGATCGAAAACTGGGGGAATTTCAGTAGACTCAATCAGAACCGGAATGATGTTCTGCAAGGGTAAAATCTGTAGCTCCCGCTTCCGCGTCTAAAGCAGGTGGCATACCTCTCGGCCTCAGGGTCAATGGAGATGGTGAAGTCCAATCGAAAAGCTTCCAAGAAGACTTGTCACGATAGTCGTCTCAGCCGTAACAAACCCTCTAGAAAGCCCGTCGATCAGAGATTGTGTCTCGCATCGACAACGATTCATGCAATCATCATAACACCTCAATGAGGAGCCGACGGCTGATAGTCTGCCACGGACCTTTTTCAGAGTTTCGGGCTTCGAGAGCAGACGGCGGATCCTCTGACTTTTCACCGCTGCTTCTTCCCGGAGCTTGGTGTCCATCAGTTTCAGGGTGCCTGAAAGGTCATAATGCTTCTGATTCAACCCCGACCATGGCGATAGTTTGTAAATTCATTTATTCCCTTCAAGTCCCCGGCACAGGGACAGAGATAGAGAGAGAGAGATCTGTCAGCTGAAAAATCAGGACACCCACTGAGGCAGTTGGGACTGACGACGAATTTCGTTCCGTTCCATCTTCCGAGTTGCTGCGGCCATTGGAAATAAGGGCGTCCTTCGACCGCGGGACCAGGCGCAAAGTTTCGTTGAGTAGGTGCAGAAGCGATATTCCTAGCGATGCCAAGCCCGGAAGCCGCGACAGGGATCCTGGCACCCCCAGAAGTCCTGCCGCCGCTCCTCCCCCCGATGGTTTCGCTTCGTCTTCTGCACATAACTCTGCCCGCGTCGTCGACCATCCTCTGAAATTTCGTGCTTTAGCTTTCGTTTCATCGATACCGAGGTTGCGGAAGATGGAAGTAGAACGTTCCTACGCTTTCAATTCCATGCTGTTGCGATCCATGCGGACACCAAGTCTCGACCATGCAAAGAAAAACTGATCTACGCAGAAGTCTCCTGCCGATCGGAGCCGCAAGAGTTCGGTATTCGCTACGAATAACTCGGGAGTCGAGCACACACTGGAGGGGAATTAGGTTTTTCACGAGACATCGGCATGAGACAATTTCCGATCCGGGTCAACTCACCCAATTAAGTTACAAGACCGCTAACGAAGTGACTTTTTAATTTATATAGACGGCGGCAGAAAACACGGGAACTCGCTGAGAGCTTGTTCTTCGCGATATGTCCGAAAGGCAGAGCGCCGGAAGGAACGTTGTTTCCGTAAGGAAATTCACAGAAGCCAACATTAAACACACGTCGATCGAACCGCATTTGGACGAAACTGGATCCCCGTAGCAAGGATGTCAGTCAATAATCCTGAAACACACGTATCGTGCCTTACTTGGACATTCTATGGAAGTATTACTCTATGCGTGTATTTTCGGCAGGGATCATTGTGTGAGCCTGTGTCGTGGCATTCTCCTCGCGGGAATAATCATACGATCCGAGCAGAATTTATCAAAAAAGTGAACGTGTTTGCCCTGATATACCCCGTCCCTATGGGCTCATCCCTTCTCAGGGTCCATCTTGGGGAGTATATCTATACGAGACGAAGCTAAGGGAATTGCTACGGAAATGATGATTTGCTTCCGGATTCGAATCGAGAGAGGGAATTCTTGAAGGTCGAACCTAAGGCCCATTTCCTACGTCGACCGTGTCGAGCTATCTCCACTTAAGAAACATACCTTTGGCATACGGTAGCCAATAAGCGACAGGTCCGGATAGTGGCTCTGGATCTTCTACTCAAGGATTTCAGGGACTGAGTAGGGCCTGATGCACGGCAGTCGAATCCACGAACGAAGACGCCGATTTTACACTTAAATTATCGGTCGTTTCCTTTGGGGCTGACGCGTGAACTTCAGGGAGAGCGAGCTTCAGTCGAACCCCGAATGGAGGATAAACTGGTGGATAAACCAGGGAAGCTCGTCGCTCAGCCAGTCGGTCCTACCGACTCTGCAGCTTTGCCAGTGGACGACAGACTGAGTGGGGTGCCTTCGCGATAAGCGCTTATATCCAGTTTACCCTTCCCTGCATTACATAAACTCCGATTGAAGCTTCTCGGCTGCTCCTGCCTCTGAAGGAATGCTGACTGAAAGACCGCGCTAAATGGAAGAGCGTGCCTGCGTGCCAACGTGCTTGTGCAATTGTGTGGAGGTTTCCTCTCTCCCTCGACAGTAGGCCAGAAACACAATGGGATTCGCTGTCTGTCCTCTCATCCGCAGATGTTTGGACAAGCCTATTTTGTTGTTATCTTTTTTGTCATGCCTGCGCCCACGAGCTCCCAGTGGGCGTTGCTCATTGGGCTACCGTCACAAGCCTAGCAATACGATACTCCCCTCCCGGGGTCGGGCAATGTGAATCAGGGTGGCGGCCAATAGAAACATCGTAGGAACTGACGTAATTCCTGAGCATAAATGCTCCTAGCTGACTTCATTTTGAGTTGAGTACGGATTCCGCATGAAGCGCCGCGATTGCGATGATACGATGCGCAGATCCTTGCCGCGGAGTTGTTGACGCGGGAAGTTTATGCGTCCATTACGCTCGGTCTCCTGAAAACCCCCCCTCGTCTCGAACCCGCCCCCTCACCCCCCGAATCAATTTCAAGACTAAAGTACCCGATGCGAGGAGACTCATCGAGGAATCAGAACCTGTTTCGAGAATCGATGCACAGCAGAATACTAATCATTTAGTCTCGATCATAGGATCAATCTTCCACCTGGGCACCAAGAGGTCATCACCTCCTCTGGAGAGTTATTCCGGGAACGAATCGGGACGGATCGATAGGCTGACCTGCAGCGTCGACTCTCATCCTTAAGCGGTGAGTCCGGATCTTTTCTTGACTGCTCCTTGGAATGCGCTATCGGAAAATAACATCGATTTTGGACTTCGCACAGTGGGGCCAAATCGGATTTTGGTTGGACTTAAGTGTTCCATGTAATTTTTCAGCTTTCTGAGGTTTTGGAAGTCTGGAGTAGCGAAGGAAGACTATTGAAAGCATTTCCAACACCACAAGGAGTGAGATGAGCAACAACTAACAACAATATGAGGAAAAAACATGATATGATTAATCGGGGACGGAGTTCACTTTTTATTCTACTCGGATTCCTCCAACTCCGTAATACTCATTCATCGACAGCAGAATAATCAATGATCGCTCGAGCCAGCGGAAGCTGCCTCAGAGCCCTCTGATTCCTCTCCTGTGGGTCTAGCATCGTCGTCTTCTATCGATTCAACATGTCCCGTTAATGAGTGGCACGAATGGTAGTTGAGTGAGCATCGCACCTCTGGATCCGGAGTTTTTCCTTCATTCCGTGGGAATCGCCGCATAGAGACTATAAGAGGATCTGAGGATCTTGGTGGATATGAGTTGGAGAACATAGTCGCTCTCTGTTCGCTCTCCAGTTACCTCTGGGACTCTGGGAACGAGTCTACGCCGCGCCAAGATGCGACGCTTACGTCTCCGAACGGAAAAAAAGCGCGAGTCGTCTCCGACGCTGATTCGGATTCGAAAAACTACATGAGAGTGGTCCCGATCCACGAGATCAGATATCAGATCCCAACTTCGGACAGACAGTGTTCGAGAACCGCTGGGTTTCGCGGCTCAACTTTTTTTTGCGGCGAGTAGAGGTCCGATACTCCTCAAAAAGAGATAGATTAGAGGGAGGACACGTGGGGACACAGCATTTCTGACATAGAGAATTTAATAAATCTCCGAGCTTCCCAGCAAGTCCAGAATGCAGAATCGGCTGACTCGACCGGAATCATGCGGGATTGCGAGATCAGGACGGGAACTGGGCGCAGAAAATAATTTTCCCCCGATTTCACCGATTGGGGGGGGGGGGGAATTCAAAGAAAATTGTCGTCAAAAAGAAAATTCCATTCTCGCAGGTACCAGGGTGGCTGGGGGACGCGGAAAATGCGGTGATCATTGCCTCGCGACTTTCCGAGTCTCCCGAACATTTTCCAACCCATGACCGATCAAAACGGGATGAATTTCCAAGGACTTTAGTCCACCTAGAATTCAATTCGGCCTCACTGTGCGTCGCGTCGCAAGGGCGTCTATGAGTTCCTTTCAACTGCGGAATGGTTCGCGCTTCCCCGTGTCCCGGTATTTCTCTTGCAGGGGGCTCGATAGAGTCCGACGAGACTCCTTCAGGTCTATCCCACAAGCACAGTAGATACTCGTCATGAGGGACCCGAATAAAATCGATAACCGCTTATAAGGGACCAGCGGCGCTACCCCAGCTTCCAATACCTGCTGTAATATGTTTTTATCGATTATTATGGATATATGCATCGTGGGCTGGGAGCGATGCGACGAGCGGAAATCGTAGGAGGAGACGCGCGCTCCGGCTTCACTTCGAGCATTCAAGAGCGCCGTCGAATCCGACGGAGCCTCCCGAGGAACATGCGTCTGTTTTCCACCTCACACATTATTCCGAACGATCCAGGTCATTCCGATCGAATCCGGGCTGCGAATCCGATGCTCATTCCGAAGAAATTCTCGCGGAGTCCTCTGTCGTTCTCATCGAATTCGGAAACTTGAACCATCGAACGTTGTCCGCCAGTATGAGCGTTTTAGAGAGAGGCATTCTCGGGAAAAGCGGTTCCAAGCGGTCCTGAGCGTTCGACAAAGCATCTTTGCGAGCAGCCAAAGCAAGCTCCCTCTGTCAAGAACCGCGATCCTTCTATAGATTTGCGCTTTTTTGGAAAGCCTGAGTCTTACGTCGGACATTCGAATACCATAGAATAAACGATTTTGCGTTCGGCGAACGCTGTTCCTCTGCATCCTGCTCTCTCGCGGGAATCCCGACAGCGATCTATGCTCTCAAAGTCTAAGGATTCCCCATGTTCCAATGCGGTCCGGAATTCGGAATACGGATACGAGCATATGCCTTTTTATTGGCATTTATATTCATTGTCACTCGAGTCGGGCCCCTGAATGGATTCAGAGAGATCAACATGTCGCTCCGGTCTCGAATACCACCCCGAAATCGCGCGAATAGCGGGACGAACAAATTTCGAATCGGTGAATACTCGCAGGCTGGAATCCCTGGCCGATCTTCCCTTTCCTGTGCTCAGAGTAACGTCATCGAGGAAGTGATGCTGTCACCGATGTTTTCCCAGATGACGTGATGTGTATTGATACCGCGGGTGTAACGGCTCGCATAAGCCCTGAAAGTGCCGGTCGTAAGTTATTCACCTCCGCAGCATAATGAGTACGAGCCCAGGCGACTTACAGGCACCTTACGACGTGCAGAGACCCCTCCGATATAATCTCAGGAAACTTGCCGCTCGATCTGAGGGCGGTTGCCTCCGCAGAAGAGCGTTCAAGGATACCGGTGAGGGAAACTCATTGCTCGCAGCGCCTCGTAGGACAGCTGCTCTAGAACTCCGTGTGTGGGTGCCGTTGCGTCGCGGTCACTGGACAGTAGAACGAGTCATCGTTCCTGGTGAGATTCCCAATGGTTCGGTAACGGCAGCGGATGACTCGGGCTGCGGCTTTAGGCTGACGTTCCCGCGTGAGTATACCCTTCCGGTTTCCGAATACTCGAGTGAGACCTGGAAGTTTTTCATTGAGAGCTTCACCATGCGATCAAAGCACGGCGGCTCGGGACGTTCCCCGTGAATAAAAACTCGCGATGGACCGATACATCATGTATGTATGATCGTCGCTAATTTCCACCTTGAGCCGTCATGAAATCTGCGAAATTCCAAATGTGTTCGCCGACGAAACCGCCTTGCGCCCGCAGATCGTCGAACGCTCGGTGGTGTTCCATGATCAGCTCAGTCTGATAGTCCTCACTGAACATCCATGCGGGAGATGCGTGCAGTCCGGGTACTGTGTCGGCCCCATATTCGCTCATCATTACGGGCTTGTTGTGCTTGGCAAGCCATCGCCTACCCGTATTGATGACCTGAACGACGCGAATAGACGCGAATAAGACCCTTCAGCCGCATCGAAGTCCCCAAACTAGCGGGAGATCGCTTGATTCTCATGAGAACTTCAGATAGAGTCCGGAATGTGGTTGAGAGACCTGTCGCCGGACGACTTCCAGCGCGCCCGCGTCGCTGTACCAAGAGGCATATTTGTTGAACATGATCACGTCCAGGAATTGAGCTGCGAATTCGAGCGAGGGGTTCTGATTGATGGCCGCTGTCACGGGCCGCGATTCATCAAGACTCTTCACCAGCTTTGCTATCTGCAAGGGAGGAGAGTGGATTTGGATTCCCGGAAGGATCGCCTCCGAATTCGCATCGGATGAACTGCGAAGAATATCGAACCTCAGAGAAATATCTTTCGCTGGCCGGTTGATTCGATTGCGGCTCATTCGCGATGGACCACATGAAAACCGACGGTCGATTCTTGTCTCGAGATATCTGAAGCAAAAGGAGAAACAAAAAATTGGCCACGATCGCATGGAAATACCTCGAGCGTAGAGAGAAAATAAGAGCAGAGGAATACGGAGCTCACGAGTTCTATGAGGGCGTTTTTGTGAAGCGCCAAGACAACGTCATTGAAGCTCTCGAGACCAACGGCGGGACATTCATCGATGACGACGATTCCCATCTCATCGCACATGTCCATGAGTTCCTCCGAGTACGGATAATGCGACGTTCGGAATGAATTCGCACCCAGCCATTTCATCAGATTGACGTCCTTGACTATCAGCGGTAAATCGAGTCCTTTGCCTCGCACGTCTGCATCTTCGTGTTTGCCTATTGATTCGTTTAGAACGGTCGGGGGAGGAGACAAAGCAAAAAAGGTACTTCGAGTTCTGGAGAATTACGTTCCCCGCAGCTCGAGTTCTGAGATGTGAAACGAAATCGCTCGAAATCCTGGGACAGAGTCGCCGAGTATTACCGAAACCGGTGAAATAGAACGGTTTCCCGTTCAGCAGTATTTGGTTGTTGGATGTCACCACGGTTCGGATACCGAATTTCACGGGATAGACGTCGCCGATTACCCCACTCGTTATACGGAGGGAGACAATCAGAGTGTATTGATAACCTGTGAGTGTGGAATCCTCCGTTAGGTCGTCTCCTGCATTCAGTCCGCCTTTGTTGTCGAGAACAAGAGAGTCCGTGTGCGTACGGAAGGCGTATCTCTTATGGAACGCATGATGCTACGCATAGATTGTCAACAAATTCCCTCTGCGCCTGCATTGATGCTCGGAGCTGAGGGCTGAATCTCTTCCCAAATGCAGCCGAGCCCCTCGACTGCCGTTATGGTTCCAGGAGAAAATATTCAGCAAATACGCTGGATGGAAGCGAGGCTCCCTCGATTAGTTCAAGAGCGAGTTATGACTTTTCGTTGAATTGAGTGTTTTCAATGTTCCAAACGATCATACTTGACTTTGCACACATGCTATTACGACGAGAGTTCTGATTGCGGATCGATGATCCGGGTTTCGGAACGGACTCGGGATTTCCACACGTAATCAATACTTGCGCGACGACTGAGTCGAATCAGTCTTTTCGGAATTTGCTCACCTGGTATCGAGCTGTGTGTATAGGGCCACCAAAGTGTTGCGTTTTCCATGAGGATGCGACCCGAACAAGCAGACATCGAATTCACTTTTCGACCTCCCTTGTTCAGGATGATGATATCACAACTAGTTCTAGATGCGTCTTTCCCGGAGACGGTCACATTGACGGAGATCGCTGACTCTGCTCAATGAGGGAACTCCGAGTCAGGGCAGGAGGATAATATCTGATTTGACGATGGGATAAGAATGATATTTTCTACATCCGAATAGTATGGTAAGTATGGGGGAATGAGCAGCTCGTCTGACGTTTCTCGTTGGCCTCCTCCGTCCGAATCAACACATCCGAAATGAAGGTTTTTTCTGTGGAGTAGAGGAACACTCCCCGGTGGATGCCAGCGTAATTGAAGAAATCAAAATTCCCGACGTTCTTGTAGTAAAATGGTGGGTAGTCCGTATCGTTGATCTGTGGCAATCAATACGATTCGAGGAGTATGAAATTCCGAGCTCGCATTATCAGCGCTCGTAGCTCTCGAGTATCCTGTCGGATTTTCGCCTCCTACCTTCAGCGTGAGCGAGCCCTGAGGCAGGGTGTATAAAGTCAGCGTATTGTTGATGACCACCGTGATGAGGTTGTCGGGGGACTCGACAGGATTCAGATGACTCCCTACTTCAGCTTCGAACGGAAGATGCCCAATCGTATGTTCCATGGCCTTGACGCCATTGACGTACTGAAATTCGGTCGGCGTAGGCGGATCGAATCGGGTATCTCGGGGGAATAGCATCATATTCGAGTCCCTGTAGCAGAGACTCGCGACTCGGGAGACTCACCACAACAGCGTTGTAGTGCACACTGCCGAAATTGAGAACGACACGTTTGCTCCGCCAATGAGATGGTACGAAGAAATTCCGCTGATACCATGCATTGCCGACATGATCTCTCACAGCGGCGTTCTGGGTCAAATCATTGTAGCTGGCGGGAACTGCTATCGGTTCGTACGGTATAGCGAACTACACGAACAGAGCCTTGATTACGTATTTCGCAAAAATTATTCAGAGTCTCTGTCACGACCTCTTACAATTACTTGTGGTAATTTTGTAGGTATTAATCTCTGTCTTCAATTTATCTCACCTTATCCCAGTCACGCTTGAACCAATAATCTACGAATCCTCTGTTTGGGTCATCGATTGGCGCGAGCTTAAACTTCCAAATTCCGTCCAAACGTCGGACATCTCGCGAAGGAGTCTCCTTGGGATAGAGCAGAGCCTGGCAGCAGCCGAAGCATAGCGCCGAGAGAACGACGACTCTACCGAGAACATGTTTTATCAATCGACAATTGGCGAGGAGCTCTTCACTACAGACAGTAGCCTCGGGGTGGAGTCGACGCTGTTGGCGGAAGCAAGCCTGAATTTTCGTCTAGCAAACAATTTCTAACCTCATTCCTCGCGATGGCGGATTTCTGCGATGTGATTCGGTGCGTCGAGGCTGAACGAACCACGATGCCGTCGATAATGCTCTGCTCGATTGTGACGAGGAGACGCTCAAAGATGAGATGGATCGAGATAGGTAGATTTGCTCGAGGGAAGCCGCCGGACGATTGAATGGTCAAAAACTTGAACAATACACTCATTTGATCGATAAAGAGATCTTGACTCCCGGCTCCCACACGCTTCCAAATTTGGGGGCTCGGGGCGGAAGAGACGCGCTTCCTGATTCGAAATGTGGAGGACGCGTTGCGCGAGCTCTATCCCAAGTCCAATCGCGGAATGGCGAGAAGATTGACAGGGACTGCGGAGATGCCAAGGCGGGGCCAAAGATGAGATAGAGGGAAGAGATCTCCGAATACTCAATCGACTCTGGGTTCTCTTTGTTGGGGTTCCCGTGGATATCATTCATCACGAGCATCTCTATGAATGGGAAAAGTCTGAGGAATCTTTCCACCGACAACTTCCCGTGGAGTACTCACACTCCATAATTCCTTATGAAAGAATCATTCAGTGTGTTACGAAACTGATCCAAAAGGTAGATCAGATCCCCGCGCGAAGCAAGCGCTATCATATTTTCCGCTGAATGCGAATCGAAGCATTCCATGCAGAGTCGGCATGTCTAAAAGGCAGTATCAATCAAGCCGAAAGACGAGCATTTAATCTCTCGAAGTTGCTCGTGAGTGCGTGAGCGGATAAGTGGGTTGGTGGTTAGGTAGTCTATTTTGAAGGCTGCCATAGCGACGCTCGTCCCTCTTTGGAGCCGCCGACTCCACAACAGAAAATAAGCGCCGCTCGACCAACATCCCCTAGCGACCTCGAATCGGCGGGGTTCGTTTCTTGCCCTAGCTTTTCAAAATGCGAACTAGTGTCCTCTGGCAGGATAGCGTCAAAGACACGGAAAACAACGAGCAGGTAGGAGTCGCCCGGAAAATTCCCGAATTCCCCGATATTCTCGGATCTTGCCCAAATCTATCCGAACATCGATTCTCCGCAGGTTATTTACGATGTATGTTTCGAGCCGGGAGGCAAACGTCTTATCGTCGCCGCCGGCAACAGAGTTTTGGTTTACGACACAGAAACAGGACAGCATGTGGACGCTCTCAAAGGACACAAAGACTTCGTTTATTGTCTTTCGTATGCTTCCGATGGTCAAAGGTCCGTGAGAATGTCGCTTTCCCGATACATGGTATGACAAGCCTTATCCCCTGTTGGAACTCCTAAAAAAACGCCGCGGTTCCTCGATTCAAGGTTCGCGTCCGGCGGAGCCGACAAAATGGTCATCATTTGGACGCCGCAACTAGAAGGAATTCTGAAATATTCTCACACGGACTCCCTCCAATGTCTGGCACACAATCCAGTGACGCATCAGCTCCTGAGTTGCGCATCCGGAGACTTTGGTGCGTACTCGCGACCTTCTCCGAAAAAAAAACCGAACTTAGAGCCTTTGTATCCGCCGAAACCAAGTTTTCGTTATCCATATCGAATCCCCAGGGATTTGGAGTTGGGAGCAGAAATCCGTGACAAAGCATCGAGTCACGTCTCGGATAACGAGCTGCAGCTGGAAACAAGACGGATCTTGCTTCGCGATCGGCCTCGCAAGCGGCATCGTCTCTGTCCGGACGCGGTAGGTTGCAGCGAGAGGCATGGGGGCTCGATTGCGTATTTGCCACGGAGTCTTTCTCAACGAAATGGAAAATTCCAGAGCCGGAGACGAGGTTCTGAAGATCGAGAGGCCGAGTGAGGTTTGGGGAGTCGCTTTTTGTCCCCCGGCGGACGACGAGTTCGATTTAGCGATCGCCGATTGGACGCAGACCCTATCGTTCTACACATTGAACGGTCGTATGGTGACGAAAGAACGCCCACTTGGCTTCGACACCCTCTTTATGAAATATTTCGGGAACAATTTCCTCGTTCTCGGCGGCTCGAACAATGCATTGTCCGTTCTCAGTCGCGAAGGGGTCCATCTGGGCGGCCCCCTGTGCGAGCAAAAAGGATGGATCTGGTGTTGCGATGTCATTCCGGACAAGGACACCCACAACGTGGCTATCGGTGAGACGAATTCGCAGGCCCTCCTTTTAAGTTGAAAAATAGAAATGGACATGGAACAATGTAAAAATAGCTCCCAGCTCCGTACGGAATGGATTACGTGTACGAGCGTTCACTCTCAAACAGGTAGCAATGACGGCACGATCGCCCTCGTGCAGCTGGGCTTGGCGACTGTCCACAGTCTATACAGGGAACGTTACGCGTTCCGGGAGAACATGACGCACGTCGTTATTCAGCACATGGTCACAGGAGAGAAGGTACGCATCAAGTGCCGGGACGTGGTGCGTAAACTGGCCATCTACAAGGATAATCTCGCAGTCCAATTGGCCGAGCGCGTCATAATCTACGAGCAGGCAGAGGCGATGCACTACAAGGTCAAGAAGAAGCTCAACATGAAGGTCGAGTGTAGCTTATTGGTGATCTGCTCCGACAACCTGGTTCTGTGCCAGGATCGCATTCTGCAATCGTTGAATCTCGACGGCAACGTCGAGCGCCAGTGGACGATGTCGGCGCCCATTCGGTACATCAAAACTATCGGTGGGGCGAGATCTCGGGAGGGCCTTCTGGTGGGCTGCAAGGACGGCAGCGTTGTCCTCGTCTATCTGAACAACTCGGTCGCATTGCAAGTTCTCAATAAACAGAGTCTGGGCGTTCGTTGTCTCGATTGCACGGCGTATCGAGACAGAATCGCGACGGTGGACGACAGCGGCGATCTGAGGGTGTACAACAGAAAAGACAGCAAGAAGACCGCGATATTCGAAGTCAAAGACTCGGCGGCCAGCGTTGCTTGCAGCACTCAACTCCAGGACCTCTATTCGTATTCGGGAAATCAGAACTTGTGTGTTCGCCTCGCGGCGAACAACTCCGCTTCCTCGCTCGCATTCGAAGGTTTCGTCGTGGGTCTTAGCGGGAATAACGCGTTTTGTCTGCAATACAACACGATGATTACGTTCCGCTTGGCCTTAGGGGTGGCGATCGATTCAGCTCTGAAGGAAAGTGTTCAGACAGCGTACGAGATGTGCTGTCTCGGAGTCTCGAAGACGAACTGGAAAAAACTCCAAGAGGTAGCGAGCAAATCCGATAATTTTCACGTCCTGCGGAAGATCGCTCAAAGGACCAGGAACTATTCGGCTTGTCTGATTCTGAAGGCAGCCGAAAGCGAAACCGATATCGCAATGCAGAAGTTCCTGATTACGTCTCGGCTCCTCAAACAATACGTCGAAGCGTCCCGGATCGAAGGAACGAGCGCCCAACTCCAAGATGCCATAGACGCCATGGCCTCCGACCTCAATATATTGGATCGGGCGCGGTCTTCGAAGAACCGGAGCGCGATTCTGAGACGAGCACAATGGGCTCAGAGAATGAATGACTCGAAGAACGCCGTCGAGCTCTTCCTCGCGGCCGGCGACACGGTGAGCGCTATAAAGATTTTGGCTCGAAACGATCAGCAAGACCGCATTTGGAACATATTGAAAGACTTGGATGCGTCGAAAGATCGTGAGCAACTGCTGCTCTGCGCCCAGTATCTGAAGAGCATCGATCAGGTGAAGCTCTGCGTCCGGATATTCGAGCAGCTCAGCGACGAGGACCTGTTGTTGGAAGTCTATTGCGACACCGCGCTCTGGGACAAAGCACTCGAGATCGCGCGCCGGAGAGGGGACGACGTCGAGAAGGGGGTTCATTTCAAGCGAGCCAACTGGCTGGCAGAAGACGATAAGTTCATCGAGGCGCAATTAGCCTTCCAGAACGCCGGGAGACCCAAAGAAGCGCTCCGAGTTCTCGAACAACTCCTCGACAACGCCGTCGACGAGGAGCGCTTCACTGATGTCAGCTGGTACTATTTTCAGATCGCTCAGCATCTCGGATCTCAAGAGAAATTCAACGAGGCGGAATATGATAAGTTGATGAAAATGGCGAGGGTCTTCTTCGCCTACAGCTTCATCTACCGCTACATTGTGGATCCGTTCACGGTCCACCCGGCTCACACATTATTCTTCATCTCTCGCTATCTTGTCAACGAAGAAGCGACTCTGAACTCGATCGATTCCGTGTCGAGATGCAACGTCCTGATAGCGCTCACTAAACAATGTACCGCGATGGGAGCATTTAAGGTCGCGCGGACCATTTATACGAAACTACAGAATCTCCTCCAACCTCGTAACAACGAGCTCAGACAATCGGTGGCCATCCATTCAATCATAAGTCGGAGCAAGGCCTTCGCCGACGCGGAAGAAACCGAGTTGCCATGCTACGCGTGCTCGAGCATGAATCCGGCGCTCGCGAAAAATAATCAATGTCTCCAGTGCGGCCAGCCATTCATTTTCTCGATGATCACATTCGAAGTTCTACCGGTGGTACCCTTGAAGGATGTCACCATGGGCGATGACGACTTTACGGCGGCGTTGAGCGCCGGAAAACTTTTCCGAGATGCGGAATACCGCGTCGTTCAGACGGGCGGTCATCAGCTGAGTCCGAGAGCGGTCATCGTTGTGCCACGGGAAGGAAAACGCAAACCCGATTACTACTTGAACGTCATGCCAAACGTGCCGGTGTGTTATTGTAGGGGCTGTTACAATTTGTTCGCTAGCGACGATTTCGAAATGAGTACTCTGCAGTATGGACACTGTCCCTTCTGCAGGACCCCAAGCGACTCGTCTGCCACTGAAGTTTCGAGCTGATGGTAGATAACGTTCTACTATGTGAATAAAATTTTCTCGGTATCTCCAAGTTCCGGTCGTGTTTCTTGTGCTCTCTCAATCGAGAAAATTTCTGAATTCGAAAGCTGAGATAGGAAGGTCCGATGCGTGATAATTCGGACTTCAATCCGGTCCTGGACCGTCGAATTGGCGGTTAGGAATGCGCCACGTGGACGATCGGAGACAGAAGGGAGCAGGTTTCGAATCGAAGCTGATGATCCTTCCAGGAGCAGAATAGAGCTCACACTGAACTCGAGAAGCCGTCGTGAGGACGTCAAAGCAGCCGAATCCTCCGAGCGCCTGGTCCCGGTTGTCGAAGGACCAGCACTTCAAGAGCAGCGTGATCTCGAATGGTTTCCGACCCTCCTCCACATTTATTCCGAGGATAGATATTCTCACACTCCGCGCTGGAGCCCGACGAAAACTTTCGATAAGTTCTCAGTCCTTTCTGCCGTGATCCGAGTTAAGCTCAGAACGCCTGCGTCTTGGTTACCCGTAGGCTTTCGAACGGCGAACTGAGCTTCTCGTGACTGAGGGGGCTTCCTGTAATTAGCAATAGACTCTGCTGAAGTTCTGGTCCCGGCGGCAAGCCTCTCCGCGCCATACACCTGAGCTCCGGATGTGGAATATCTGTGTTCATGATCACCGTCTCGTGCTCATATTTCCGTCCGACTTTGAAACAGTGTTCATGATTGGCTTCCTCCGTGCATCCACTGTGGCGGGAATCCGATCCGCAGCAGAAAGCTGAATCGGTCACGCGCGGAGACGGCCCACCGTCGACGCGAGCATCACGCTCCGTGCGGCGATTTCACTCAGACTCACCGAGTCAGCAGGCATTACATCTCTGCGGGCGTCGGCTGTGTCGTAGGTCGCGGATACTGGGATGGGAAAGATATTCCACTTGAAGTTCCAGATCTCTTCTATGATCGGCCCCGAGCTCTCGGAGAGACTATCATGCCCTAGCGGAGCCCGGAGTTGCTCCCATTGGCGGGCTTCGTTCGAATTCCACTCTCCTCGCCTCCCCTTCTCTACTCAACAAACATGGCTGTGCTCCCTGGCTGACAGACAGAAAGCAGCAGCAACAGTCTCTCTAGATCGCTGAAGTGTTTCTACAGATATTTGGAGCGCAAATCTCGACCGGGAGAGCCGAGTCTCTAGTGTTTCCGACTTGCGAGCCAAGTTCTCCGGGTCATGGCGCATCGGCCGCTGACACAGAGCCCTGATGAAGAAGTAAGTTGTGAACGTCTGTGACTTCGCGAGAACGTCCAAATCGATGCAAGCGAAACTCTTAGTAGTGGTTCGGCCGTTCATCGTTTCGGAGTCCTCAAACAACTACGCAGATAATGGAGTTCGGCACGGGTTTCTCGTGAGTTCCGGACTGGCGTCGATTCGCATGCATGCGATAATCAGGACGGTTTGGCAACCACCAGGAACAGACCGTTCTGCGCAGAGAGCTCTCACTCGCTGAACTTGACGGTACGGTCAGGATCCTTGGCAGCTGTTTGCTGCTTCCGAGGCATTCATAGAGTCTTCATGGAATCTGTTCAGCTCTTTCGTCTCGCATCACAATCAGTTTATCGCCCCGGCCGCGTTCCGGCTCGGTTTCCGGGGTTTGTCCATCCGTCGATTGCAACAGATGACTGCAATGGAGCATTTTGAATTCTCCTAAGTTCTCGGGAACTTGCGGCAATGACTCCCTCCGGGAGGGCGGTCCATCGCTCAGTCGATCATTGGGCAGCACGACAATCCGACCGGAGCCCGAATGAGTAGAAAAATATCTCACTGTCTGATTCGCTCTGTATGTCGAGTTTGAAGCGGAAACTACGTTGCAGATGATGAAGAACACCGAAAACTGAGATTAAACTTGTCGAAAAAAATACGGCTAGACGAAATCAGAATGGAGCTCGCGAATGAAGTGAATCCCTTGCGTCAGCCCTACAGATCACCTGTAAAAGTATGTCGGCGGAAAGACCAATTACTTTGAGTTCTAGCTTCTTGAGAGCATCTTGACTGCTTTTTGCATTTCGTTCCGGGAGCTGACTCTCGCGAATTTGACCGTTTGATTCTGTGGAATAAATACCGAAGCGGATGCACATTGAAGTTGCCTTCGCGCCCCGTGAAGGGCGACGTCCCTTCGAGAAACCGAGTCGGGTGTGGTTGCGGATGCGGAGCTAGCTTGCGCTCGGATCTCAACAGCAACTCACCGCTTCTCGAGGCCGGTGTGCATTCGGCACTTGACGACGTACTCGTGAGGTGGAGCTTGATCGTCGGATGTCGATGATGGTTCGGATTCTCATGAGACACCTTGGTTGCTTTCACGCACTTGAATCCGCATTATGATTTTCACTCACTCCATGCGCACGGGGGAGCGAATAATATTCGCGATATTGACCAAGTGCTCTGGACTCTTGCAAGTGTTCTAACGAATCGATGTCCCAGGATGAAGGGTACGAGGAGGACGAATTATCCGCCAACGAAGCACCGGCTCCTGATACGAATTGGCTCCAGTTCATTTCGGGACTTCGCCTGGAGCTATTCTTGTTCGTGTATTCAATTTCGTATTCCATGCGTCTAGTCATCACCCAGGATTGGTTCCTGCATAAGGCGTGCTGGGCAAGGTGAGTTTCTGCTTATTCCGAATAATATTTTCCATAGCGAGTTGAAGACTTATGTCGATCTGAAGTTCCCGGGACACATAAGGGATTTGTCAGCCGCTTGTCGTGTTCGCATCATTATGACATCTCGGGTATCGCTCCTTTACGTCATTTAATTTTGCTCCGAAGCACAGCGCCCCAAACGTTGAATGGGATGGCTGAAGGGCGGTCGAACCTGACCGGGGCTTTTCTGAATGGGAGCTCGATCCCGAGCGGGAGACGTACGCTGAGCTCACTCCCTCCATCAAAGACCCCATGATGTGCGGAAGCGCCAGGGCTTTGAAATGCAGCGACAGGCGGTCCCTGCATTTATACGCTCGCGCGATAAAGGAGCATTGGGAGAGCGAATCTTGATAGCTGAGAGAATTGAGGTATCGATCATTCAGGTTTTTCTTCCCTCCGCAGGTTCGACTTCAATGAATCCCTCTGCCACGACATACTCAATAGAGATAACGAGGATCCGATCAAAACCGCCATTACAAGGTAAGACATGGAGCACGGAACTCGCGAAAAGTCCGACCGAGAATTCGAGGATAGTGAGCTCATTTGAGGGAGAAAACTCAGTCATTATGCATTGCATCGGTAAAATACAATCAGGAATTCCCTTACAGATCAGCGAACCTGTACAATCTTTTCCTCTTTTTGGTGCAATTCATTCCTGCGGGACTCCTGAGTATTTTCATATCCCCCTTCGCCGATATTTACGGCCTGAAGGTTCCGTTGATGATAGCGACGGCCGGAGGGTGCCTTCAAGTAAGAATAACATCTTCTGCCTCTATCCATCTCGCATTACTCGTTGCTCTCCTCCGTACCGGACTGTTGTACGTATCCCTGATCTACTGCATTCGCCAGGATCTGCTGACTGTCGTCACCACTTCAACGCCCTCGATACTTACTGTCTTCACCGTGTTGTGCGCAATCCCCAACGGTTTCACCGGTGGTCTCGTGATAACCTGCGCCTCCGTCTACTCCCACGCAGCTCGGAACTCAGCGGATAGTCTGAAAACGATGAGATTCGCCGTTATAATAACAGCGATGACTTTAGGATTCCAGCTGGGAATGTTCATCGGAGGACAAATCTTCGCGCTCGCCAACGAGAAACACTTTTCGGTTTTCGTGGTTTCTGCCATTCTTCTCATTACGTGCCTCATCTATCTCTGGGCGGCCATTCCTCTCTCGGACGAGATTAGAAACGCGGCTCGCTCCGAACTCATACAGGTCGGTTTATGTTGTGTTGTGCCAACCTTCTACCGCTGTTGTCGCACTTCATCACGAGAAGGTCAACCTTGGTTGCGCGACGTGTTTCCACGATAGGCTGTCGTCACGCTATTTCGAACTCGAGGCCGCGCTCTGGTCCCTACTGACCGAGCGAAATGGCTCAAGACGAATCGGAGTCTGAGCTGAAGTTACCCCCTCGGAATTTCAGGACCTCTGTCGAGTTGACAACCTCACCGAAGGCTTCAAGGCGGTCTTCAGGCCGCGACCGGGCAAGAATCGGAAAAAACTCTTGCTTTTGATGGTTTCCATGTGGTTCGTTTTGTTCAACAGTGAAAGTGAGTTGATTTCCTCCGAAATCTCCATACGATCTGTTTTTCCGCGGCATTTTTGTGCACGAGCTCGACATTAAAGGGAATATCTATGAGTCTCGGCCTATAGGTTAACCCTATCATTCTGACCTCCAACAGCTGCGAGGAACATCAACTACTACTACACGCGGAAACGCTACAACTGGTCTCCAACTCATTTTTCGAACATAACGGCAGCCTTCGGCATATTCCAGGTGAGAGGCTCGCTCGCTTGCCGTGTAATACAACACGGAAATATATGAAATCGCAAACTTCGTTCTAATGTAATTTTTGATATGCATTCCACAGCTCCTGTCAACGGCCACCTGCATCGTGATCTTCAGCCGAATCCTCCGACTTTCTGATCCAGCTTTCGCTTGTATCGGAGTAGTGGCGTTCATGATACAGAACGCCATCAAAGCGTTCGCCTACAAGGACAGCCTCTACTACTTGGGCTATGCGTTCGGAGTCCCTGGTGGGACCGCCGCGGTTGGCATCTCCACGGCCGCTTCTCGGATCATCGGTCCTTCGGAGGCGACTAAGGTCTTCTCCTTCTGGACAACTTGCGAGTCATTGGTGCCGGCCGTGGGAGATGTGATCTCGTCTCTCCTCTTCAACGCCTTTCTCGGCGTATTCCCAGGACTGCCTTTCCTATTGGGCGCTGTCTTGCAGCTCATCCCGCTGGGAGCGCTAATTTACTGCATCCGTTATCCTAAGATCGAAAAAGATGAATTCGTCCACCGGAGGCTCACATGAGCGGTACGTCCACCATCCAGAATCTTAGAGATGAGCTGCCGATAACAGATGTCCGAATGTTTCGGAGCTGATTCATGATTTGCGAAATCCGGAGGAATAAACCAGAATGTAGGTCTTCCTCCGGACAATACGAGTCTCGGCGTGACATTGCATGGCCGTCAGTTTCAATCTTACTTTGCTCCTCAGGTGCGGCGAGGAATTTGCAGATTCGAGGGAAGCTGATGTGATCGCAACAGGCGACCGGTGTCAGGGGCGGTGGGATAACCGAGTCGTGAAAGATATCTCCTCAAAAAAATGACTCCGCGACCACGCCTTCCGGATCCCGGTACCCGCACGCTCCTGAAACACATTGAGCCTTCTTACTTCGTTGCTTCTGATCGAACGAAACTCATAATCATCATTGATTCGACTGTCTGAGTTCTCTGCCGATCTTACTGTCGAGAAGCTCCCGAGAAGAGGGAAGTCAGACATGCTTAAATCAATCCCTCTCCGAGGTTTTTGGAGATGCTCCGCGTCATCAGAAGGACGGCTTGTTTGTGTTCTCGTTGCCGTACTTTTCCAATGGCGGTCGAATTACACCAGAATCGTGAGGTGACCTTTTCAATTCAACTTAAGCGATGCTCTGGTGAAAGTGCGTATCGCATAATTGTACAGTTCCGGGATAGATGCGAATTTCGAATGGGGTAATCTACCAATGTAAGAATTGTTGTGAGAGCAAGTACCCCTAGCTAAGGTTCAAAACCTCATCAGTTCCATCCGACCATATCGGCCCCGTGCTTGCTTGAGGGTCCGAGCCCCCATGCGACTCCTGGACATTGCGACGCCTGTCCGGCTGAGCGGGGTTGCCGATATCGCAGCTTGTGCACGAGGCCTGGATTTCTGGATTCAGCTGGGGTTCACTGGATACTGACAGATTGGTTCCGAATAGATTCTCGAGGATACTCTTTGTTCTCGGATCGGATGAGCATTCTCTTGTGGGGAGCATTGTACATCAAAACCAAAGATTGTCAAGAAATCCATGCATACAATAAAACTATGTCTTGAAAAACTGATCATTATTCCCGCTGATTCAACGCCCCAAACCGATGTTCCCGAAATTTTTTCACGTCCATACGAAGCCTCGACTCTAAGGAGGCCTCGACTGCATGTACCGAGTCGACCGAATCCCCCAGAGAACGATGAAGATCGAATAATAATTAAACAAATGCCAATCAAGTTTGTTGAAACTTCGAAATCGCGGTCGATTGTGGGCGGTGCCACCACGAGATGACCCGTTCCTCGTGGTTACTTTGTGTTCCGTACTTCGAATATCAGGGAGGAACCGGCGACCGATGCAAATCGGCGCCAAAAGTATCGTTCCGATTGCTGCGAATCGAACGACTATCCAAATTTACCGAAGGTCACTCGATCGGACCTATTCACCTACGACAACATATGAAAATTCTATCGCGGGAAATTGATTTCCACGACTTAATTGCGAAGTTATCCGAATAATTTCGCCAGAGGTAGATTCTCGTCTAGATCTTTCCTAGCTCCGAGCCGCGACCGATCAGTCTATGTTGTTTGAAAGGTAAGACCTTGGAAAAGAAGGCCGGAATGGAATTCTTCGCTGTCGTTCTCATCGTGGCCATGCATCTCCCTACTGGTGATCTTCTAGAAGCGGTGCCTGTAGCCTCATTCAGTAACGTTTGTGCTCTGACACCTGCTCGAATAAACGAGTTCCTGAACTGTACGCTCACTCGAGCTCTGATCGACGGTCGCTTGAACATCGTGACAGATTTCAAGAAGCAGGTGGGAATCGGAGAACAGTTCGCTCATTGAATTCTGGTCAACCGGTCGAGATGGAAGATATAGAAGGTAGCGCCCCAGAGAGCAACCAGAATATTCGTAATTCTCATCGGATTTCGTCTATTCCCGGCAGACATCTTCTTTCGGGGACTTGACGATGGGCGACGTGGTTCGCATGATGTGCAGGAGCATGGGAAACGATGGACACGCAGGAATGAACTCCTACATGGAATCGCTTGACTCCGACGATGATCGTCAATACATGTTAGTGAACGTGAAGCTGTGTGGCGGTCCTGACCTGGGAGGTCTGTAGTTATTGAAGTTCTAGATAACGTTGAACTTCGAGCCAAGAGAATCCAGCCAAAGACTGGAACCTGAACAACGAGGTTACTTGACAACAACCTCCGAGCATACTTCGTCGTGTATTTATTGAGAAATTACGAGCATGCGCGAACTACGATGTGTTCTTCAATACTCCCACTCGTGCTTTGTCACATGATCTTGATCCGATCTCGCATACGCCCGAACTTGCCGACTGGAAGAGCTTTTGTGAACATGTCTGCCAATGGATCATCAGATGGCACATGTCCCACCAAGAGTTCCTTCGCCTCGTATCTTTCTCGAACGATTTGGAACCTCATGTCAATATGCTTAGTCCGATCGTGCAGAACCGGATTCGAGATTAGCAACTCGGCCGCAGCATTATCCAAAATGAGCAAAGGAGGATCTTCTTGAACGCACATGATCTCCTGCAGCAGACCTCTCAGCCAAGAAACATCTCTGGAACAGGTATATGCCGCCACATACTCAGAATACGTGTAGAATCGGTCACTATAGTTTGTTTCTTGGATCTCCACCGGATGATACCACCAATCGTCATGAGACAAGTTCCAGTGACAGACTTCCGTGACTCCAAATCCGAAGCCCAGCTTGCCTCAAAGTAGGCGATTAGCTGATTCTTTAACAAAGTACCAGAGTAAACGACACCAAGCTCGAGATTACCTCTCAGGTATGTATCTCAGGACTCGCTTGGCACTCGTTCAATGCTCTCTCAAGGGCGACTCACAAAATTGAGCCACCCGGTTAACAATGTAGGCGATTTCTGCTCGCGTTCCAATCGCAGCAAATAGAGGACACCCAATCAATTGTCTGACTGGTGCATGATGAGCTTGTAGCATCGCGCCATTCTCATCAACATTCTTCCTCAACACCTGATCAATTGCATGAGGCGTACCAGTGAGATTGCAATCAATCATGGAGAAACGTTCCAGCACTCTCTCCAGATAGGCCGTCCGGCGAATCTTGAGAGTTTTCCGGTGTCGATCTCTGCTGATCCCGAGTCCTATGAAACAGTTGGCTTCCCCTGATGTCATTTTGAAAGTTTTCCTCAACTCTTCCAGGAACTCTCATATCACTCCCTTGGAGGATGAAATACATGACCCGTCATCAACATAGAGGGCAAATAACAAATTGTTACGCCTCCTCACGAAGATGCACGAATCTCGTACACATGGCTCGAGGCCGAGAACTTTCAGCACAGCGGAGATTCTTCTATTCCATTGCAAGGCAGCTTGCTTCAAGCCGTAGAGGGCTTTCTCTAGCTTGCAAATTCTTCCACTCCCGTCGTCATATCCTCCTGGCTGGTACATGTAGATGTCTCCATCTAGTTCACCATATAGAAACGCCGTTGTGACATCGCATTGAACCATTTCCGAAGCATTCGCTGCCACGGTCGATAAAAGACATTCCTGCTTTTTGGGAACAGCCCAACGCGACCTGACGGGCCTTATATCGATCCATGGAACCATCGGGACGAAACTTGATTCGGAGGACCCACTTGGACCGAATCACATTATCACATTGCGGGGGTTCAACTAGTTTCCACGTCCCATTTGACATCAGAGAACTGTATTCCCCAGCTGCCGCCTTCTCCCACTGTTCTGCGGCGGGGGACTCCATCGCTTCACGGAAAGTGCACGGATACTCCAATACAAAGTACCCATGCAAATCGAGTCCATCGTAGGATCGGAGCCCACTTCACGTTCCAGGCGCTTAGGATCCGGACTGCGCGATGTCGAGGAATACAAATCTTGCCACGATCTCACTGCTCGACCGCTCAGTGTTGCGCCCGCAGAAGAGTTTGGGGGAGTCTCCGTCACAGAACCGCTATCGTCAGCTCTCCCACTGTGACCAAGATTCGCCACACGCTTCGGTACCGATTCGACAAAACGACCATCTCTGGAGATCTTGACGCCATTCGTACCCGGCAACCACAATCGATAGGCCTTGGATTTTTCATCATACCCGACAAGGATACGCCTTTCACTCTTTGCATCCAGCTTATCACGTTTATGACTCTCGATGGAGACGTACCAAACACCTCCCCATATTCGCAAATGGGTGACCGACGGTTTTGGGTTGTACCAGATCTCATACAGAGTTTTCCAATTCAGACGCTCAAGGGGAATCCAATTCCGAATGTGACAGGCAGCTTTAATAGCTTCGACCCACATCAATTTCGGCAGGTCCGTTGCCTTGAGCATCGATCTTGCTGACTCTATCACCGTCCTATTCTGTCGTTCCACCCGACCATTTTGAGCGGGCACATAGGGCGTAGTGAATTGATGTTTCACCAAGTCACCAAGTACTTTCTGCGCAATTCATTGAGCTTGGCTGACTTGAATTCTGGAGCATTATCACTCCGCAGACAACTCCACTTGTGACCAGACAAATTAACTCCAGTGAGAACATCTTGTACAGCTCCATAAATCTCATCTTTGCTTCGTAGAGGATGAACCATCAAGAAATCGCAACAGTCATCCACGAAGATTGCAAGCCACCTGCATTTTCGTGGGGGTTCAACGCTCATGGGTCCGCATATGTCGAAGTGAATCAATTCAGCGCATGTCTTCGATCTCTTGCTCGAGGGAAGGACTGGCAAGCGCGACTGCTTCCCTAGACAGCAAGCTTCGCAGAACTTCTCTGCTTCAGAAGTCAAACTTTCATTGTTAACGCTGAGTCCTCTCACAGATTCGTTCCTGAATGTCGCCTTAATTGTTTGATAGTTCACGTGGCCAAAACGCTCATGCCATACATTCAAGGGCTGTGCGTCGGATTTGACAGCCTTCGCAGAGAGACTTTCTTCGCTCAAACTTTACATTTCATCCGATAGAGCCTCTCCCCGCCCTCACGAACTTCGATCGCCACACTTTGTCCCTCGCGAATCACACTCAGACCCTCGCGGTTGAATCGCGCTTCGCATCCATGATCAGTGAGCCCACCGATTGACATCGAATTCTGATTGATTCCCGGAACATGAAGTACGTTCACCAACTTAGCGTGGATTAATTTTCCTTCAATCAGACTCTCGATCTGGATTGATCCCTCTCCAACGCCTTTCATTGTACGACCGCTTGCGGAGACTACTGGTCTAGGATTTCCAAAACCTCGTTATCCGTGAACCAAACTCTCCGATAAGAAATTTGTCCACAAGCACCAGTATCAGCGAGCCAATCGTCATTTCCAAGCATTGGAGTTCGAACATGGAACAGTGAAATCAATCAAGTATATTTGCAAGTATGTGACAAAAGGGAGCGATAGGGCAGTTTTTGGAGTTGGTGAAGCGTCCGCACCCGTGGACGAGATAAAACGATATCAAATGGGACGATACATCGGCAGCAATGAAGCTATATGGCGTATCCTGTCTATCCTGTCTATCTACGACTCCCGTTCATCAAGTGGTTCATTGTAGGTTCCTCCCTCACTCGTACCTGCGCAGCAACGCGCGCCGGGCTGCGCTATGTCTTCTATGTATTTCCACCTCTTGTTAATCTTCTTGTTCTTGATCAGGATCCTTTCTCAACAACGATCTTAGATTGTGCTCTGGATATGTGCTCTGGGCCCATCACCTATTGCATTTCTAGATAACGTTGAACTTCGAGCCAACAGAATCCAGCCAAAGAACGGGACCTGAACATCGAGGTTACTCGACAACAACCTCCGAGGAGACTTCGTCGTGTATTTATTGAGAAATTCCGAGCATGTGCGAACTACGATATGTTCTTCAATAGTAGTCG